GATTGCGAGAAAAAAAAATAAGAGTGTAAGCGATGCGATACAAACAACGAACCGTGTCCCGACGCATACAGCAGAGTTTAAATGAGGTGCAACAGCGCTGTACCTTGATAGTCCCGTCTTTCGCGCTTTTGAAGGCCTGCAACGACTTGGGTGTGCACAAGACACCGCAGCGCGCCATGATCTCTTCGAGCCCCGCAGCCTGCGGCCCTTGCTCTTCGAGTATGCATTCCCTTGCACCAACCTGGAGTGACACATCGTTACCGAAAGCTTGGTCAGAAAACACGTGGATGCACCTACGCTTGTGTTGATAAACCAGGTGCATTTGTGTTCAATACAACAGGAGCCTACGAAATGTATCTGTATTGTGCGCTTGCTGCTGCATTTCTGCCTACATATATTGCCAACTCATAGATGCCCCACGGGGGGGGGCGTAGAATGTTCGCCGCTTGCTCCACCATCACCTCCCCTCCTCCATGTCTTTGCTGCTTGTAAGAGTCCTGGTGTTGGCGTTGATGATTCTTGGTTGCAAGTCCGGAGTGCTCGTCTCTGCGCGTCGGTCCGCGAATTGAGAGACCCTCTACACAGGCAAATCACCTGCACGACCACACCCTCTAGGTCCGAGAGAGCGCAGTCCAGCAAGCCAACGATTCGAAAAGCCGGGTTAGCGTAGGCCACCCCCACGCCCCCCGCCGCGTTCGCGTAGGCCGACATCATCACCGCCGTTCCGCTAGCCGCATCCTCGTCTTGCCGCCCCTCTCCCTCCCCTGTGTAGAGACACCCGCGAGAAAGCAATGAAATACTCTGCCGAAGTTTGCTCTGACAAAGAACGAGAGAACGAGAGCGTCTCTACGGCGGCTCGCTTGGACCGCACATGCTCGTGAAACACGCCGTTGGCAAGGCACAGATCCCAGGGAAGTTTCGTTTGGTTCTCGAGATCCCCCCGCGCAAGTGTACACCGAAACATGCAGGACGTTTATTGCACCAGAGGCGGGTTCTCAAGAACGGTGTGATGAGTATGCATCAGAGCACCCCTCTGACGCCAACAGAAAACAACCAAAACACAAGCAAATGATGCATGATTGCACCCGATCGTTTCAGCAGCCGCCTTGGCGAGACACGGGGGTTACAAGTAGCGAGGCTCGAGCGTGGACACGTGACTTGATGTGTTTGGATAACGAAACAGGCCACCTTAAAAAACAAACAGAGCACACTCTCGTCCCCGTCCATCCCTTCCCCTCAAGCCCCTGAACCAAACTCAACAGCGACACATGCTTCAAGCTACACGAGTAGTAGCGCTGCTTCGCTTGGGGGAAGGGCGCAAGGCTCTCTCTCTTAATTCGCTACGAAGAATCGAAGTGCACCATGCAAATGGACTCTTGCCTGTGGATAGATATGAACTAGAACTAGAATAGAACTACAATATTTCGTTGTGTCGTTGTAAGAACAACAAACACAAACGTTGCACCTGATGCAATGTCTGCCATAATAGCCTCCACATTGCCGGGAGATGCAGATAGGCGCCGGGTCCATGTGCTCGACCCCCCCAATTGCTCCCATACTTCGATGCGGAAGTTTTTGGCAAGGAGAGCCGGGACGAGTGACGAAAAAACTTTCACGCTGTGCAGCAGCAACGGAGATAAAACAGTACGCGAGAAGGACCACATAACAGTGCCGTTGGATAAGGACCAAAACACGACTTCTGATCTCCGCCTTCAGATATCAACCGCCGTACGTAGGTGTATGAGGCAGAGCGGCGGAGCGATGGGCAAGGTGCCGAACGTGTACGATAGGCACGCTCTGACCACTGACCGCACCCCGGTAGGTTGACAAAAACAGCCAATTTCGTACTTTCGAAACGCTCCGATTTAAAAGGTGGCACAGGGCGGGGGAGATATGCTTGAGACCTTCTGCAAGCAGGAACGCGACCTGGAAGCTACTGGTACACACGCAGGGCGCATCAAACACGTACATCAGTTGCCTGGCGGACGAAGGGTTTAGCTCCAAAATTGTCTCTATTGGTTGCGATATTTGGTGTCCCCCCGCCCACGAGACGGAGGTCTGACCTGATCGTGATGCTTGGAAGACCTCCAGATTGGAAGGATACGACGGACGTGTTCTTGAAGGCCTCACGTGATACCAGATCCGCGTCGAGACCATGAGCTGTGAAGTACACCCATTCTTTACTTCGACGGAAGAACCGGACTAAACCTCCGATGCTCTGTTGGGAGAGTACCAGGCCAAAGCGAAAGAGAGGCGGTTGTCTAAGAAACCATGGGAATGACATGAGCGGTTGGCTGTACAGGTTAAGAATAGAGAAAACATTAACGGGATGGGATGGGATGGGTGGGACCACGGAGTTAATAGCAAATCCAACTTTTCGGCCATTGTTCCAGCGCATAAGTAGATCAAGATGCATTCGAGCTCCACTCAGGATTTGGGCTACCTTTCTCTCTCCCGACAAACCTGTGTCCGAACGCCTTGTGGCAAACCCCCATCGTGCGGGAAGCTCGCCCGATACCGATCTTTGCAACAAGAGGCTAAGATTTTCTTCGACGTAGTATACTAATACAAGCAGCAGGGTGGTGAACCGTGTACCACAAATAAATATATTCAAGCAACAAATAGGTCTCAAGACGCAGTTTGTTGGCCCTGCTGCCGCGATCTAACCCCAACAGTCATACCCCAACAGTCATACTCTTTCCAAATTTGAACATGCAGCCTCATGGCGTCTGCTACAGCATTCGTTACTCTTGGTTCGCTTTCCTGTCGCAGACAGCCAGTTGGAGCTATACAATACGTACAACCCCCAGTATTTTGCTATCCTCGAATTATTCAAGCCTTTAGAAAGGTAGACTAGACCATTGGTATAATATGTACGAGCAGCAGGAAGGCCTTGGGTACAAGTCATAAGTCCTAGACTCTACCAGGTATGTATTATAGTCGAATCCTACGGTGGCCCTTTGTGGACACGAAAAGAAAACGTGCTCTGTGCAGTACAAAATGCTGCTGTATGCTTGATATGGCATGGAGTAATCATGTACACAAGAATGCATTTTGAATACTGTAGTCTTCGTCACTCGAAAAATTCGGAGGCCGGCGGCACCACCACAATCTGTAATATCTCCAAAAACTTGTTTTTCTGCACGTAGCCGTCTCCATACTGTTGCACTACGCACTACAGCGGTGCCACCTTGGCGCCGTAGTCTCGACATGTTGCATGGATTTCAAAAATGGCGTGTTCGTTGCCCACACTTTATCCCGTATGTCTGTCTCTATGGCGGAGTACACGAAATAAATCTGCTATCACGACCAACACGACAACCATAATCATGATCTCACCTCCAGCCTCCGGAAGAACGTGGCGAACTGGTCCGACATCCTGCGCTCCGCACGTGTGCCTGCACCTCGGCTGCTGTGGCTGTGCTGTGTGTTTGTGTTTTATGCGGACCGATAATTGGGGCACAGCGATTTGACCGATCGCACCCACCAAAGCAAATTTGACCCTGTAACCCCCCTCGGCCATGTGCTCCATGTGCTGCAACAGGCAGCAAAGTAAACAGTGAAGCAGGTCATCACGCCACACCACCTTTCGCTCTTGGCACCCCGCTCTATATCATCTCTCCGTACTGGAAGCAGTGCCAGTGCCAGTACCAGTAGCGGAAAGAAAGAGGACGCGAAATGATCCGGCTGAAGAAGAAACAAGATGTAAGAGCGCTCTTCGAATTTTTCTCGATTGACTTCAAAACTACCGCCAGCTCTCCGTCTGTGTTGCCTGCTTTGTCGAGCTCGTTCTTTCTGTCCGATCAAGAGGGCGATGGCAATCCAGTTTCGAGGTCCGACAAATTATTGCAATTCGGGGCCAACAAGGGGACCACTGCTGGCTGTGCTGTTACCCTGTTGCATTCTGTGAACGAGTGAAAAGTTCTTTTGAGTTCAAACATCACCTGGGATGGATGTCCCAACGCGGGTCCCCTCTCTCCCAACAGCAGTAGTCTGCAGCAGCAGCATGAGTTGCATAGCATCCAGCCGAGAGTGAGAGTGATCTCGAGATTTTGCATGCTTCCTTCGTCTCGCCTTGTCAAAGAAGAGTCTGGCGTGCTATTGTAATGGTATCTGCAAAGTCCGAAACATGTTCTCTCACTTGGCCCCCATTCGCCGTTTAATTACTGCCTGTAAAGCACTTTGGGAACTAGGGACCGGCGGATGACCTCAATGTTGCAATGAGCATCGCAGGCATGGGAAAGGCCCATGAGAACGCGACAGCAGTTGTTAGATCTACAATCAGCAATCTTGGAGCACGACCGTGATTAATTTGCATCTTGAAATCAGGCTTGAATAAATCCCTTGGATTCAGATTACGCCCACAGCTATCATGAGTAGTTGATTGAGTTATTTGGGGCCGGTTTGAACTACAACTGGAATGATCGGGGGTGGGAATATATTTCTAGCCGAGAAGGCTATTGTTGCCGATTTGAGTTATGTTTTGGAGTTTATTTTCTTGTGTTTTGGAGTTACTGAGAGGTCATGAAGACATGGCATAGTCACAAGCAGGGGGGCTAATAGATATACTTGTAGCAATGCCAAGTGGATGGTACAGGATGTTCCCATGGAATGAGGTAGAGCGGAATACCGGGTGATTTGTGTGTTACGTAAAATGGATTTCCAGGGATGTACAAGGTACCCCTGTTGTATACGGCGTCGCCCCCTCAACGGGGCTTGTGTGTGCGTATGTGGATGCAACTAATCACAACAGGTTTTTCTCCTCGGCGCGAGCCCGCCGAGTTGCCGACACCCTATTCAACACACGTCTTGCGACAAGCTACCCCCAGTTGGGATCATCCGAACATCCTCCTGTGCGACCCCCGGCGGGTACGTCGAACATATGCTTGCAAATGCCAAGAAGAAAGACAAGACGAAACAGAGACACACACCGCACCCCACTGACACCCGTCTGTGCTCGACAACAATTTGTGTGCGGAACCGCGTGGTGCCATTGATTTCAGGATGAGAAGGCCGCTGAGGCAGCAGCGGCAATGGAGGTAGACGAGGAAACACCATCGAACGCGGCCGCTCAACCAAAAGCGGGCGAGGAGAAGGCCGCAGGGAAGCTTCACGTTCTGGGGATTGGCGGCCGAAGGGCCAAGAGAGGCAGTGCGAAGGCAACCGGAACAAAGAAGACGCCGGGAGAGATTCGTATACAGAAGGGTGAGTGAGCCTGGACAGCATGGACGCAGCAGCTATTGCACGGTAAACGCCTGAGCAGCGAGTACGTTCTCGGACATCTCGTCATCATTACATGTTCAGTGTGATCAAGGTTCGATACACACTCATTGAACACCCTGATTTGTGTTGTGCCAATCGTGCTGCCCTCGGAAACTGCAGACATTGCGGACTTGGATGGCGGAAGCGTAGCAGAGATCACTTTCCCCAACCCCAACAACCTTACGTCCTTCAAGGTCAAGGTGAGAATCGATACGTAGGGCTTTGATCATGTCAACATTTGGGAGCTGGCGACCCGAACTTCTTGACCCCGGGCGCGATGTAATGCCAGTTAAGTTCATTCATCATCATCGTTGGCTACGTTACGGAAAGACCAAGAGCATGTAACGTAGTTAAGGACCTGGACCACGCTTCTGGGTTTCCATTCATGTTCTTTTATGAGCATGCACGGCGGTACTTTCTGGGTTTACGTCACACACCTCTGCGTCCTTTACATCCGCACTTACTCCTCCTATCGTGCGTGTGACATGTTTTGGCACAGGTGCAGCCGGACAGCGGGTTCTGGAAGGGCGCGTCGTACCACTTTACCTTTAGTATTCCTGCGCTGTACCCTCACGACCCACCCAAAGTGAGCAACGCTTCAAAGGTTAAGCACACAACCACGTTGTGCACACAGCAGTAAGCACAATCGTACGGGCCAGTTTTCCTCAAGCCCTTTTGCTCCGCCCTCGTCGTTGTCCACTTGTTGTTTCGGATTTTTTTCTGAGAGTTTTCCCCATCCGGTCCTTGCTCGCGGTGCAGGTGCTGTGCGAGACCAAAATCTACCACCCCAATATAAACCTGCAGGGGAACGTGTGCCTCAACATCTTGCGGGAAGACTGGAAGCCGGTGAGTCTTCGTGGCTGTGCCGACATGCGGTTGTCCGAGTTGTTGGAGCGTTTTTTGAGGTTTGTCCTGTCCTGTATCTGGATTCGAGTATCAGCTTTCGCACGAACAACCTTCTGTCAAGTGTGATGGCGTCAAACGCCCGGCATGTGTATCCCCAAGTCGGTCTCGTGGGTGGGTTGCACACGGCAGGCTTGGCGCAATTGCGACTTGTTTTCTCCAAGAATGCGGTTTTGGGCAAGCTTGGTCGCGAGAGGGACCAGTACGTGCTGTGCTTTTGCAGCGCGAGCGGACTACGCCGTACCAGTATCCCTCAAGGCCGGCCGCCACCGAGGATGACTACAGCGGCCGAATTTGGTTTGATTTACTTTTAGATGTTTGTTTTTATGTAAGCTGATGAGCTCGATTGCTTCATAAAAGCTGGGATTATCCGTCGCTGTGCAGGTGTTGGATATCAACGCGGTCATCTACGGGCTCATCTACCTGTTCTACGAGCCAAACCCCGAGGACCCCCTCAACCACGAAGCTGCAGAACTCTACCGCGACAACATAAGCCAATTCGAGCGAACAGTGAAGAGGACTCTCGCAGGCTGCGTCATGCACGGGGAGACATTCCAACGACTGATTTGACTTGGTGACATTCTGCTCAGTGTGTGTGTGTTTTTTTTTTTTACGCTGAGGGTTGAGCAAAGACGTTTTGGGAAGGCTTGCTGAAGACCCTCGATCGACTGGCCCGGTCTACGAAACAGCCTTTGATCTTGCTCGGATGACATCTGCGCAGTTGGAAGAGAATGCTCGAATGTATTATATGCGGCGACGTTACGCTCTCAAGCATTTCCTGCGTTTTCCAGACATGCTTTGGACGCGCCGTGCACTCAACGGACGTAAGTTGTACGAATTCGATGAAGCCGCCAAGAGCTGGGTTTGCTCGAGAATGCATCCTGGTCGGTAACGACAAGCTCCCAGACTTGCGCAACCACTACCATATTTGACGTGTTTTCGTATTGTTGAGTTGCTTTCTCCGCCGTAATGTCCCACCTTCATGCGGGGCTCGCACATACAGCATCCCGGAGGGAGATGCACTGATCATACTTCAGGTCCCTGCTGCATGACGCTGCAGTTCCTCGGCTCTCAAAGGTACTTGCTCGTGCCCCAAACATGAAAAATCTGTGTAGGGTACGTTTACATAACTGTAGTACGCAGCTGCGTCCTTCGCTCAAGTATACTCACTCGCGGATGGACGAGCTTGTTCCACTACCCAAGAAGCAGGTACGGAAGTGCGGTATAGATACATGGGTGACACAAGATATCACATCCCCTACAGCATTAGACTGATTTTCAAAGCTCCATTTATCCACAGCAGTAAAGAGTGGTGATGCAGAAAATGGTTGCGTTGGAATAGCCTCATCGACTACATTCTGAAACGTGTCGTTTGGGTTATTTATCCTCTTCGTGTCGTGTGGAGTAGTTGAGCTCAGAAAATCGGTCTGGGGTCAAGGGGGGGTGATATCTTGTGCAAGCTGGGTACAGCAGTAGACATGTAGACATATCTCTCGCCAACAATCTAATTCCTAAAATCCACACCACCACCTGTCTTTCGAGGTTACCATATATGATCGTCTGGGCGACCAGCCAGTCCCTATAGCAGCACAGCATTATCAACACATCCATTCATGATATAGCAGTAGAAGTTGCGAACCAACAACATATGTGTCTTTGTTATTATTAGAATCGACCGCGCTAACCGGCTGACCAATGAAAAGACGTCAGTCTCAGTGCGGTTGAAAACACAAAAAACTTCTATCTGCTATGAACTGCAATCCCGTGAGGGGGCAGCATGGGGGAGGCTAAGCTATCCTCCGGATCAAAGACAGAAACGGTAGCAACAGAAGAGAGTGTGGTGGATCGTGTGGATCTCGATCTGAAAATGCGGGGGATTTGGTGGTGTTTGGGGGTGGTATTTATTGTTGCACTTCACGAAACCCCTTGAGAAATTCTCCAACGGTTTCCTTCGTAGACGCGAAGTAGCGGCACCCAGAGCAGCACCACGGCCAACACCGGGCACGAGTACCCGCGCCGTACGCCAGAGGAAAAGCTTTCTTTCACGTCTGTGGGTTGTCTCGTCCGGTTGGCACTCTAGTCGACTTTCACTCGGAGCGTAACAAGTGATTGCTCGACTCGTGCTTGGAGAGCGAGAGGAAACTTGTAACGCAATGTCTGCGTATGTTGACGATGCGCCTGCTGCTGATGGGCGTATCGTGGAGCTTGCGAAGCAGACCACTTCTCGGCTCGAGGTGCTCTGGGATGAGGTTGGGTACACCTCCGAAGAGAAGCGTCGTCAGATGCAGGGTCTTGTCGATGGATTTCAGACTCTGTGCGAGAACAAGGTGCGTTTGTCGTTACCCACACCCTCGTCAACCTTTGTGTAAGCTGGACTTGTGCTACGCACTGCTGTAGTGTTATCTACAGCAGTAGCTCTTCCTCACGCGAGCCCCACCGCACGGTAATGCCATGCCAACCAGTTACTCTGTGGAGGGACCGATACCAGCTAGACGACAGCATCGTGGTCAATAGTTGGATGATATTGACTAGCAACAATTGCTGCACGCTCCGCCGGCTCCGTTCCCTCAGGAAAAGCAAGAGGAGGGTGTGAAAAGCCAGTTCGTGACTTCTATCGCCGACGCAAAGGATCGAATCAAGACTGCCAGAAAGAAACTCGGACAGGAGCATACAGAGGTGTGTTGGCGATATTTGATGTGCTGTTAGTTCCTGTAGACGGCCGAAACCTACTCCTGGCCTAGCACTCTAAGATGTTCTAGAGTCACACCGCCGTATGCGTTTCATGAGCATCCATGCGTTTCCTGTTGTAGACACAAAGGCATCCTGCCGTATACTGCAACATGTTTTTCACCCTGTCGTTTGCCCCGGTTTGGACACCATTTCCCTCCTAAATATCAGGACTCCTCCACAGACGACATGAGCCTCACGGACCAGCTAGCCTATTACGAGATGGAAGCAGATGCAATCAAGAAGGTGGTTCTTTCGTTTGTTCATGGGCAGAGGGGGCGGCCGAGCAAGTACTTTTCTGACGTATCATATGGGTACGGCCGTAGCGTAGAACTTATAGTCCATCGTATGCACACATGCTGCTGTTGTAGTCGTGTTGGTAGAGCCTCTGGCGACAAACTTGATGTGCTGTCCGTTGGGAGAAGATTGACAACGTGATACGCCGGGCAAGTCGGCGCGCGTATTATGGTCCAACAACAATAGCGCGATTTACACAACCGCAGGAGAGCGTGAACGAGAACAAAGCTACACACAGATTTGCCACTGCTATTAAGTAAGGGTGTGCCGGGCCTCTCTTTTGACAGATGTGCAAGGCACAGCAGGAGAAGTTCGAGAAGTTGTCCGAAGAGTTGGTGCACATGAGCATGGTGCTGGGAGATGACTCTGATGCCGACCTGGCTGAGTGGAGGGACCTCGAGTCTTCCCTAACCAACGAGAGGCTCCAGGCCTTCAAAGACAAGAAGACGGAGCTCAACAAGGCCACGGTGAGCTTTCGATCCATAAAAATATTGTTTTGAAATGTGGAGAACCCGCTAGAGGCGTATCGAGTTCCGAACCAAACAAAGAGTCTGGCGGATACTGCCGTCGTCGCACACCTACGCCTGCTTCATGCCGCCCACACCGGCACGTGTGACCGTTTCACATCGTTTCTTTCCACTGAGTTGTTTAACTCATGAACCGCTTGCTGTTGGTCTGAATCACCAGGAGGACCGCATGCAGACGGTAGCATCACTGGTGAGCACGGTGCAGGACCTGATGGAAGAGCTCAAGATCCCTGCAGCGACAGCCCTGGACAACCGCATCTTGGGCTCGCTGGCAATCCCATCCTCTACCGGAGTACCAGTTCTTCAAACAACCGAGGTATCCTTTCGCCTTGTCGGCTGCGAGATTTGTTGGACAAGTTATTTTTTGTGCCTACTGTACGCAACTCTATTTTGTGATTCATGCTGCAATATGTCAACCCTTTTGTTTGTTCCCACAGCGAACGGCATCATCTGTGGGCATCGACAGAGCCGCGCTGGACGAGTTGGCCGCCAAGCACGAAGAGCTCATCACGCAGAGGGTGAGCACGACATTGGGATAGTTTGGTTTCCAAGTCTCGATAAAATGCAACTAGGATCGAAGGGGACCCTTCGATCCAAATCCTTCCAGTAGACCATCTCTTGATACCAGGCGGATGAAATGGAGCAGATGTCCTTTCCCGAGCGGTGGTTTTCAAAAGATTAAAAGATTGACCCGTCAAACGTATTATATATTTGTCCAGAACACTCGTCGGGAGAAGCTGGAGAAAATGGGTGAGGAGATACTGGACCTTTGGCAGCAGCTGGACATCGGCAAGGATGAGCAGGTGCCTCTCGTCTCAATGAGTTTGCCATGTGGTATGTTGAGAGATGAAAGGTGCCCTCGACAACGGTTTGGCATTGTCACACGCTCTGTCAGCGTATGGGAACGCCTGCCAAGTGTTGCAACCCTGAGGAGGGTACTCGGTTGGCGCAAAGATCCGTGCTTCGCCTTTTCCCGAGACTGCCTAGCCCGATACCCTGCGACATCGCTGTCAAACAGAAGTGTATCAGAGGTTTCCGATTGCGCCTCTCTGGAAACCTGGAGCCGTCAACAACACAACGGCGATGGCGTGCATCCTAAACATGAGCGGTGTATGACCCGTGAGGCACCCGATGGCGTATTCACGTTACACCGCCTCCAGTACGAACCCACCACATGCGTTGCGAGAAGGCCAAGGCCAAGTTAGAAATCAGAAACGCTAATTTAGTGGAGATCCCCTCCGGCTCGCGCAGGATGTGTTCGCTAAGAGCGTGGACGGGATGGGGCTACAGACGCTGGAGGCTGGAGAAACGGAACTCAACCGCCTCCGGAAGCTTAAGCTCGAAAAGATGGGAGAACTCGTGCTGGCGTCCAGGGCAAAGATCCGAGGTATGCATACGGCTGGCACCCGGGAAGGTGTAGTGTGCGTTGATGCCGATGAATCCCTCCTCTTTCTCTTTGAACCACTGAACATCGCTTCCAAATCGAATAGGTGTATCTTCGGCGAGGGCTTGCCATGCCAACGAAATGTCGAGCGTGCTGCAGCCACCGCGTTGCGAACAGACCGTTCAAATGAGATTCTAACGGCGATGCCCAAACTCAAGGCGTTCATTTGCCGTTGTCCCGATATGCGTGATTTTGCCATAGAACTCTGGGATGAGATCGGATACTCCGAAACCGAGCGACTTGCGTTCAAGCCAATGCTGGTCACGGAGGAGGGTTTCACGGACGAGCTCCTGCAACAGCACACACAGGAAGCGGACAAGCTGGCCACGAAGTTCGAGACCATGAAACACATCCTGGAGGTGAAGTGGCCAGCATCCTTATCCTTCTTGGGTGTAGACGTTGTCGAGGCTCTCGAGGGTGCCAACAGTGAAGGTGGAGATATTTCCCTACTCACGGGTTGGAGTATACGCCGTTGCCTGCCTGACCTGGAGTATTCCCCGCCGCACCCTTCGTTGCCCTTTCCAGAAAATCGAAGAGCGCGAAACCCTTGTCGAGCAGCGGATCGAGTACGAGACCAGCACGAAAGACCCGAGTCGCCTCAGGCCTAAGGGCAGCCAAGAAGAGCGCAGAGAGCAACGCCGAAGGTGAGGTCGCCCCATCGAACTTTGTTTGCCCTCGGAACCGTACTTCGTGTTACATGTCCCGCACGCGAGTAGAAGTGGCAAACGGTGGAAGGTGGTGCAACGAAAGGGCATCGTTCGAGACATATCTCACGGAGTATCGTGAAGCGTTGTCAACGAGAAACGAGGAAAAGGTGCAGGCTGCGACAGCGGGTGATTTTTGGCGTATGCATCTTGATTTCGCTTTTTGCCTTCTTTGCAAATGCTGCTTCAACACGCGCTTGTTGATACTCGCTATGTCTAGTTGCGCGAGTTTATCTGATCCTTGGGTACCGTCCCCTCCTTCCAGGCTCCAGGAGGAACTCGAGACGGAGAAGCGCATCAAGAACCGTCTCCCAATGCTCACGATCAGCTTGTCTAAAACCATTCCCCAGTGGGAGAACGCACAAGACTCGGTGTTCCTGTACAAGGGCGAAAGGTAAGATTTACACCTAGCTTGTGAATAATACTCAAAGCAATTCGGATGAGTCGTTCACAAGTTCACAAGCAGCCTCTTACGGGTGCACTATAGCAGTACTGGGGTAGTATGTGATGACACGAAAAGTGGTTATTTTATTTTTCCCGGAAGGCTCGAGTGCTATGTGTCTCCCTTGATCCCGTCGTGGTCTCCGCGAGCGTTCACGCTGGCTGTGAAGTTTACCGTCGAAAGCCACCTATGTCGGTGCTGTCGCACGGTCATTACTGCATACCCTAAATGGTGTGGTGAACCCACCCATCAATAACCGGGAAGACGTTTGCCCGACCCTACTGTTATCTTGACGAATTGTAAAACAACAGCATGAAGTCGATCGCCGCCCCAATGATGTCCCGCCTTAGCTTTGTGTTGTACAGGCAGGTCACCCCGTGGCACTCATAGAGTAGTCGACGGGGCATTCCGTCTTGTTCTATGTGCGATGGCTGCAGCTTTACTTGTGAATGCATATCGATTTTCTCTTGTGGCCTTGTCAGTACCACGGTAATTTTGCAGCGTGGAACCCCAGTGATCATGCAAAAGTGTTGGTGCTCACAGGTGCCGAAATATTTTGCGTCGACGTGTAAGTTCGTAACCTAACGCACGTATGGAATCAAATTTCAATGTCAGGTACCTGGATACCCTGCAGCGGTCGGAAGATGAGTACCTAGCTCTCAAGGACCAGATCAAGGCTGCCAAGGCTGCCACCAAGAAGGTAAAACGCGAGAACATACCGCTGCCCTACATGTCGACCGGCCGCGGTTTTATCGTGCTTGGTTTGCCACACTCTGCGGGCGCTTTCTGTAAGGCGAGAGTTCATTCATCTCTTTGCAACAAGAAAGAGAAACGTTCCTTCCAGAGCCAAGACGTGGCTCTCGAGATGTTATAACGTCGTTTATTCCAATGCGGCCATGAAGTCGCATGTGGAGCAACTCACCACGGCTACAGAACCCACAATCAACGCACAACTCCTCGTTTTCCGCAGGAGGAGTTGAGGAAGCATGCGATGGCGAGCCCCGCGCCAAAGTCGTTGAATTCGGTGGCGCTAGGAAGAGGGGAGACCCCTCGCAGCACCCGGAAGCAGGTGAGAAACGGGCGCCTAAGAGTAGCTATCGAGGTCAAAGATTGTCGAATCATTGTGTGATGTCTCGGAGCTCGGTACATGCACATGCCACGCTCGATTTGAATCCCCTTTTGCAATGCTCTTCAGGGCAAACGCGTATGCCAATGAACACCAACTTTTTCGTCCCTCGATGCTTCTGTTTTCCAGCCGGGTTCGTCTCGCAAAGCGGGTCCAAGCTCGTCGATAAAAGCACCACGAACTCCGGCGCATGGCCATGCCGGCAAGACCACGCAAGTCCCTGCAAGCAAGAAGAGCGCGCCCGTCGGTATGACAACGCCCAACCCAAAGACGGCAGGACGAAACGCCCCATCATCCGCCCTGTCAGGCAAGTACAACAACCAACAAGTACTGTAGTGTGCACGCAGCGACACGGTTATCGCTATCGCGCTACAAATACCGGTAAAGAAAAGAGTTCTGGAATTTGATTGTTTGGGCACTTTTCCTCACCCATCCGTCTCGCTGCCTCACCCTGTCCGTGCGCCCTTCGCACAGGCAACACAATCATGGAGAACAACGGCGGAATCGCGTTGGGGCAAGCACCTAAGCAACGAACAAGTACTGGAGGGAGGGAAGACACCGAGAACGACTCAATCGGATCGCCCATGGAAAACTTCGAGGGCTTCGACTCGTAATAGAAAGCCTGTCCTCGCGCCCTCGTGCTGCCTAAGTCATGGCCAAGCCGGAGCTTCCATTCTTTTAGTGTACACTCTCAATTCAATCGTGTGTAGCTCCTGCCAACAAGTCGCTTGTTTCCTTGCTCTGTAGTCGACGTGTCATTGCCAGTAATTGGCGCGTAATCTCGATGTAGTGTTTATGTACAAGGCAACATTGCTGTACATACCCAGGAAGTCCTCACAGGCCTCCATTGTTCAACTTGCTGGACGCTGGCACAGCTCGAATGGCGCATCCACTTGGGGCACGCGACCTAGTGCGCCATGTTGGGCCAACAGTCTTCAGCACCCTGTAATACCTAAGAACATTGCTATCGCCCGAACTTGCGCGGCAGCCCCCCCGTTCTCGGCATCGTTGTTGGTGGTAGCGGTGGTTGGTAATGAGACTGCGCGAAAACAAACGGGGAAGTGGAGTATTGTCAAATGTGCTGTAAGCCAAAATAGCATCGGCACTCGCAGCGAGCCTTATGGCTGCCGAATTCAAATATATAGTCTCTTGTAGTATTGTCTTCTTCTAAATAGACCTGTTGCGAAGCCTTGTACGGGATGGATGTGGAACGACGCGGTGTCGACTTAACTTAGCATATGGGATAATTTTGTGAAAGCACGAAATACTTCTCGGCAAGACAGCGGACGTAGGTGACCCACCTGTCTAGCTAGCGTAGTTTGTGCCGCGTTGTAAGCTCCACCTGCAACGGGGGGTAGCGGCGGGCCTTGTGCTGCTTTGGCTGCTGTGGGCGGAGGCGGATTGACGAAGAGGGGGTTCGCCGGTGGAAGAGGAGGCGCCCAGTTTCCTCGCGACCCTGTGCTCGGCTTGGCACTTCGCTGAACTTGGTCGCTTGATGCAGCCTTGGGGCTTGGGGGAGTTGGTCTTTCCCCGGCTCGACGAGGGTCGCGCTTGTCCTGAGCATGAAAAAAAGGAGTGAATGAAGGGCATGGGTTATGTTGCACAATCTCTCACTCTCTTTGGCGGTCCTAAGCAATAGAAGGAGGAAGAGCCAACTCGGTTCTCGCTTTCGCTTGCCCCCAACGAAGCTGAGCCTCGCACAGAGGATCCCACCTTCTTTCTCTGGGCACGCTTCGCATCCTGCTGCATTATCCCTTCCTCCTTTCGCTTACGCTTTGTCTGGTACTCGTGGTACGACCCACCATGGTCCGGCAGCTCGAGCGGGGGCACCTCAAGAATGTTATCTGGGCAAATCGGGTGTGTGCCAAAGTAGCGCGTCTCCAGGGCCTGCGAGGCAAGAACAATGCTGTTGTCTTCAATGGAATAGATTCTGGCCTCTACCCAGTTATTTCAGCAGAATCCATTGCTGTCGTCAAGAGTTGATCCTAAATAAGGCATGCATACAAAGAACAGAGAATGACCCCCACCACTCGCGAAGCAACAAAAATCCTAGCTGGCGCGTCTCGAAAGGACACAAGGTAGACAAGGAGGAGCAAAACCTTGGACGAGCGGTAGGTCACATTGCCCTCTGACAAGAAGCAAAACTAGAACAAACAGGGGAGTAATCTAGCACAACAAATGAATAACACTTGAGGAGCTATCCTCGTGCCACTACGAAGCTGGGCGGTGTTCATCGTCGGAGTTTTATGAAAACCACATCTCCAAAGCACGTAATCTAAAAACTAAATACGCACCATTTCTTAGGTCCGTACCTTCGCGCATCCCTACAATGCCGGCGAGCCCCCTGTCAGATATGTCACTTACAAAGCACAACCCGTTGCACACAAAAATTCTACGGGGTGGATGTGTTCAGGCAGGAAGGACGCCCACTATTATCCTATCGGGAGTAGACTTACTAGGGAAAATACGAGCGGTCAGATCAAATCCGTTCAAGGGTACCAAAAGAAGACGCCGTGATGTTGGCCAATTGAGAACACTAACATTGCAGCATACGACCTCGGCATTTCGATGGATCCGTTCACCGGGGCAACGGTGTAAACCATATCACCACACGGAACACCTTTGGAGCCGACATCCACGCTTACCTGCTTTGCAGAAGTTCTCCGGCTTGGGTCGAGCGTCAGAAGTCGCGAAATGAGGTCGATCGCCTCCGAGGTGAGGAGTTTTTCAGTGCCAGCCGTCCGTGCAGTTTCCGTCTGCCACGCAGTTGCATCAGCGACGTGTGGACGGTTGTGTTTGCGCAGGCTCAGGAGTTCGACGACAGCAAACAAACAATATCAATGTATCTAGACAACTGTTGCATGCGGCGCCCCTTCGGAATGCCACACCGTCTTCGGCCTCCTCATAACCAGTGCTTACTCACCAGGTGCTGCTTTAGTTGATCCGGATATTTATTCTTGGGCATCATGGTGCTGAAACTCGGGAGCTCCTCGTGGGCTGGCCATCTCCTAGAGTCCGGTGTACCACACACCTGGAATGAACCACCAAAAACGGACGGTGGAGGCCATGTACGTGTGCAATCGTTTGCAATCTTTGGAAAATTCGGGAGAGTGGCACCCACGTTTATCCGTTGCTCTACACAAGGAGGAGGCGGATGAGAAAAAGTACGCCCCGTCAACCACAGCCGGGAATCAAACGCGCGAGGTGGCTGCCTTCAATCGGTCGCAAGACGCTCAGGGCCCATCGAGAAGAACACCGTCACCAACTTCTGTAAAACTCGTACAGATACGTTGCCGGAAAGTCTTCCCCAAATCACTGCCATTACTCCTCTTGCTGACCGAAAGCACAACCATCCCTGATTGCTGTTGGAACCGTGCACAGTTCGTCCCACGTCATCGCCGTACGGTCCCATCAGGCCCGAGAGGAACATCGAGTTTTCGCGATCGCCGTCGCCTCTCTGTATTTACTACGTAATGCCACCGAATAGGCATCAGAGTTTGGGTCCTTGAAGCAAAGTGGTTGACACCGTATAGGAGCAACACCGATCTGCGTGCCTGCTAGCGTGCAACGGATTTGCAACTAGTCGTGGACCACAGCACGAACGAGCCTTGGTATTACCATAGAGCTCAAAACACGAGACCAAAATCAACCAATAGGCTATACATGTTGGAGCGCTTTGACCATTGAGCCACGATTGCTCTGACCGTACCTTGAAAATGGCCTCCAACTGCTCAAGTTCCACCTTGGTAGGAAACAGCGGCTTGCCGATAATGAGCTCCGCAAAAATGCAGCCCACTCCCCAGCAATCAACGCTTGGGCCATACCGTGTCGCTCCGAGGAGCAGCTCTGGCGGACGGTACCACAAAGTGATCACCCGGTTGGTGAGATCCGCTGGCACTTCACTCAGTCGTCGTGCAAGACCGAAGTCAGCAAGCTGGTCATGGTCGAAAAAATGCGTGAGGCAGAAAAGGTTCATCAACGGCAGCACGGCATTGGATATTGCATGGAGAGCAATTGGTTGCTCGTGCGCGCGGAACAACAGCACATTCCGGCCCACTTGTCAGCAACCATTGCAGAACTCCAGGAGTTTTGTTTCCCAGGCAACCTTCGGCGATCAACTGGGCTGTAGGATTTTTGGCTCCACTCCCTCCTGAACAAGGATAGGTTCGTCGCCACTGTGCACATCACCAGCAAGAATCATGCCATGTGTGTCACCGGCCACAAATCGCTGTCCGCACCTTGAGCTGGAGATTGTTGTCGATGAGGAGGTTCGAGCACTTGATATCGCGATGGACATACTTGTTGTCATGTATGAACGCTAGAATTTCCAGCAGCTGCCGCAAAAGCGCCTTCATCTGGACAGCCGAGAACCTGCGATGAGGATTTCCCATCGAGAGATCGAACGCGGTTTGCGCCTGGTCGTCTTGTGCGATCCTCAGGACATAAGGAGGGAGAACACGAACTAACACGCGTCCACGAGAAACCGAATGAAGCATGCGCGCCATTGGAGTGCGAGACTACCGGTGCCAACACGAGCCTGCAAACCATGATCAATACACAACCCACGCTCGGCCAAAGGCGGAGGTTAGGTGGTGTGAATTTTTCACACAACAGTCTTGCGGCGCGTTCGAATCAAGGCAAGGCATGAACGTCAGATTTTTCCCTCATCTAATAACATGACAAAAGGGGTGTAACCCATCACTAGCCACCAATGCAAATCTAGGAAGCCTAATTTTTCACACCAGAGCATCTCATATGGAAATCTCGCACTTGCAGGAAACCACTCACGTGATGTTAAGGTCCAGCAGCCCGGCGAGGTCATGCTCAAGGTACTCCAGTACGATATACAAGCTACCCCTGCGCCCCCTATCCGTTCGTGGCGAGTCCTTGCCATCGTCATCGTCGTCTTCCTAAACATGGGGAGGAGAATTAGTGAGGGTGTTTGGGCGTCGTATGATACTGCCATTTCATCCAACTACCGCTGCAAATATAGGAGTGAATTGATTTTGTGAAGATCATCCGTATTGTGTTGATCAAGCTGGTTTATGTTTGCACCGTCAACAAGGAGGCATGTGTGGGCTTACTTCCCCACGAGAGGTGCAAATGTAATCGTGTTCTCGTGTTTGGCAGCGACCCCAGAAGCTGTTTACCTTAACTTCTCTATGGCTACAACTTGTTCGTGGGGCTCTGTTCGTCAAGTCGCGTGATATCAACAGCGTCTTTTCGGTATGGAGAAGCGTAGTCACCTTCATGCTGTAAATTGTTGCCAATATGCAAGCCGGGAGTTGACAGCACCTTTCTACAGAACAGGACATGTTGCGTGTGCATCTTTGTCTGGAGTGCGGCGTGTAGCCCATCCGCACTGCTCTACATCTTGCGCGTAGGTTAATCTGTGGCTGGAAAACCCGATCTGTGTGGAAAAGGCTAATCTTTTGCACCTACCAAAAAATTTTCCTCTCTCGCGCACCTCCGAGATTCAGCCCTCCACAAGCTCCTGCTACTCAGGCAATGTGTCGGCAATCCGACATCGCTTTCACAGAAATTGACCGTCGTCTTTAACGCCTGCAGACCCCCACGTGACATACCTCGCCCACAGACGTGACGATTTCTAGCAGGCGCACCATGCTGGGATGAGAGAGTTCGTTCAATATCTTCATCTCTCGAATCGCTGTCACTGGAAGCTGGAATTCACGGGGCGAAGAAAGGGCGGGGAAACGGACGCGAGCAACTTGAGATAAAATCAACACGATACCACCCGTGTATATGGCGTAGAGGAGGCGCCGAACGCGATTTGTTTGTTGTCCGTCCTTGATCGTGTAAAAAAGTAAAAGTATGAAAACGAGGGCACCGATGTTGCTGTGGCACCACGGCACATGTGGTGATCTGCAGTAGTCGAAAGATGTACCGCACCTGACGTGTAAGCAGAAACTGAAAATGTTTCCTTGCACCAAAAACTACGGAACGGATACAAATTATTCGTGTGTTGACATTCGGTGCAAGAAGCCTTCTGTATCACCGCTGACACAGCTGTAGCTACCAGTGAGAGAGCCTGAGGTTGTCTCACAAGAACTCCTTGTACGGTTGAGGTAGGCAGCTCTAAACATGGCCAAAATGACTGTTGCTCGCCCGCAGATAGCATAGAATGGTGTTTCCTTCTTTGCATTTGTAATAAAAACAAGGACCGAGCAGTGATACTCGATGTCGATAGAGGAGTATCGAATGAGCTACCAGTCTGATGTTTCTGCTGAAGCTTTATTGTCTCCTGAGAGCTACCGGTAGTATTCTCTATCTACTGCTGTAGGTACTAGGATGCGCATGATGAGTGATTTCGTCGCGCAAGACTTCTGTCTCTTGTGTTTGTGTTTTCGTCCCATCTATTCTAGCGCTAGTCTCCACGTTTTCTATATTTGACGTACCAGCCGGGGTCACACGTGGTGTGCACCGATTCATTTCAAAGCCGCTCTAGTGAAATCAATACCACTCCTCTACAATTGGGACGCAGCTCCTACGGCACAGGTAACGTTGTCTGCATCTCAGCAGTTTTTGCAGTCTGTTAGTGACTCTTCCTATCAGCAGTTTTTGCAGTCTGTTAGTGACTCTTCCTATCTAACGGCTTTTACGCCCTCTGATTGGTCCGGCGTTGGTTCCTAGCCTTGACCCTCTCCAGCGCCCTCTCGCCGTTCCGCATTCCGAGAACGCGGCGCAGCCGCGTTCTCGACCAGTCTGCAACATACCGCTCCTAGGTAATCGAGTCTGTACTTCGCACACAAAAATGCAAACCTCACCCCAAAATTTTCGCTGTGTACGCGAATTTTCTTGAGAGCCACGATGTCTTTCGTTACCTTGTTCTTAGCCTTATACACCTGCGAGCACCGACATGCGGAAATCGAGTGGGCATCAGAGAAAGACAACCTGGTTGCAACGTTGCAACAGACGCGAGGACGGAAAATCAAGTGGACATGTATATAGTTCAAAATTTCTTTTCTCACCTGGCCGTATGTTCCCTCCCCTATCTGCTCCACTTTTTCATAGCAGCTAATCGATCGTGTTCCCCAATGGTTGTCGGGTAGACGCACCGTCATATTCTCGAAGCAGAGAAGTCTGACAGCCTGCAGCAGTAGTTGCCAGAGGCTGATGCAAGGATGGATGTGTCTTTGTTGGGCTGTCCAAGGCTGTCTCTATGGGGGCCAAGCAGAATCTGCGCGCACTGGCACGGTAATATACTCTGCGAAGCCCCTCTTCAGCAGGCAGGCAGCCCCACGCTGAACACGACGGAACATACCGTTGGGAGCTCCATCTCTTCTCTTGCTCGATCTGCTCTCTCCAGATCATGACTGGCAATGCATCAGCCAATGAAAACTCGCACCTGGCCCCGGAAGGTGTCGGAGCTGACTATGGGAAGGACGTGAGGAATGCTTTTATGACAGGAGACCAACAGGCATCCAGGTACAAGTTAGGCGCCTGTCTCCCGTCCCACCCCTCTCTCCTCTCTCCTCCCTTGTGTGTATATGTACGTGGCGAGACCGCATGTGTGATAGCGATGTGACCCCATCTCTATGCAACTATGTTTGGCTTTATGCTTGGCCAACATGCGCTAGCTAAACAAGGGAAGCTCGATGCGCGACATCAACGTTCGTTTACATGTCTACAGCAGGAAACACCTGTAAGATGTAACGCAGGGACCGCTGTAGACAGGCTGCTTGTACATCAACGATGCATGTCCCCCCGTGTGGTCTATTCAACGCACATCGCGCGTTTGCGGTTTCACGACAGTTTAAAGCAACCGTGATGACACACATGGGGCGTTTATTCGCTTTCGCGTGCATCGCCAAAACATCCGCGATCACGCCCTGTGCTTTCACCATGACCGCGGGCTGTTCGGAAACACCCACAAAGCCAATCCTGGCCTTTTCGTGCATGGAGTCGAAACGTCGTAACACTCCGGTGTGTCAGCGTTAACACATGCCTTCACTTTTCACTACTGCTGTGGACACATCGTTCCCTACTGCTGAATATATGACGTCACTGCTGTTCACCGCCGCTGCTGCAGTAGCAGATTTCATTTGAACCGCGCGTGGTGTGGTGGTCAGGATGTGGAGGTTCACGACGTACAGCGGTTCTTAGGTTAATATAATAGATCATCGTAACGTGTACTCTTTCGTTACGTGTTTCTGTGCTTGCTGCATCTCCATATCCTGACCTCCACGTTAGCACTCAAACATTTGACGGTCAAGCCTAGTGTCTTGGTTCGCTTGAAGTGCAAGCGATGTTGCGTAACATTCCAGACGGGCACCAACACCCTGGTTGAAACAAACGCGCGTGTTTGAATCCCTCTTCCGCCACCCACCAAAGTATGGTACGCACAGAGTTATGCAATCAGCAGTCGATGAACACATGAACACACACCCCATGAGTGACTCTATTTTGGTTTTCCTGGCAGGCTCCTTCACGATGCACGCGCAGGCCAGGCCCACGATGAAGCGCACAGTGAAAAGGGAGACTATCTCAAGGCGATGGTGTTTGGCGGTCTCGATGGCATCTTGACAAGCTTCGCTATCGTCGCGGGCGCGGCAGGTTTGTCTCGGACGTCATAATGAGCACTAGCAGCAAGTTTGTGACACCCTCGGGCGTAAAGCGTTGCCGGAGTCGGTAGTTGGAGCGCCAGCGGTGTGAATGGTGTTAGAGCAACCACGATTTTCCGCTGTAAACTTGAATCAGCGGTCCGTAGCACATTTTGCAAGCGCGGTGTGGGTTCACGGGTGATTTACTGTTTGTGGCTCGTTCAACTTGTTCCTCAGTGTTGGAGTCGTTTGACCATTTCAGTTTCGTTAAAAACTGCACCACTATGTCGCCTCGGCAACGGTCTTCAGATTGCGCTTGAGTTGAGGATGCCAGTGTAGCCTTGGCAGGCCGCTGTCACTAGTCCACCCCAGAAATCGCTGGTGGGGAAAAATTGCGGTGGTGTGCTTGTGTGAGAGCTCAACCGCCGCTTCTCAACAAGTGTTGCTTGCGAAATAATGGTTTGCTTTGACTGACAGGAGGACATCTCCCGGTAGCTGTGGTTCTGGTGCTAGGATTCAGCAACATATTCGCAGATGCACTGAGTATGGGTGTTGGCGAGTACCTCAGCAGCAAGGTGAGACTACATAGATAGGAGTGCAACGAGAAAACTACCTTTTCGTGTAAACGCCTGTGGTTGTCGCGTTTGCCATATTTGTCTAATCATTCATTTTTCGTGTAAATCGCAAGGAGAGCTTGCCCCGTTCGCTTGCAAGTCTATTCGTTGCGTTCCCTCCAGGAAACAGTCCATGGTTCCTCGCGAGGACGATGCCGATCATTTCCGCTATGACTGTCGCAGGCCCACAATGAGTACGTCATGGCAGAAAAGAGACGGGAAGAATGGGAGCTGAAGAATCACCGGGAAGGAGAAATATTGGAGATGGTCGAGATATTCGAGGTGTGTTATGAGCAGGGGTATCATGTACAAATCGTAGAGGCGTGTCTACAGCATCTCGAAGCATTGTCCCAGGTAGTCGGTGGTTGCGCTGTGCGGCGCCTTACGTAGCGAGGTATCTGCTCGCAATGCCCAACAACCTATTCGTTGTCACGATGTTTTTGGGAAGCGCGCAGGTTCTGGCCTTGACCGTTATAGCTGGTGATTGGAACGCTAGGCTAAACCTGAATGGCGTGATGGGCACACTGGCAGAACCCGTCCCGTTCCTAGACAGGATGCTGTGTTGCTATGTATTCTAATTCTCACAATTAATAAAACATTGCAATTACCAGGAACGAGGGATGAGCCGACAAGATGCGGAGGACGTGATCGGGAAAATGGCGAAGTACGATGACTTTTTTGTCAATCTTATGATGAACGAGGAACTTGGTCTACAGGTTTGTGCCGAGCATGATGTCGTCGGATTGTGATGTTGGGCATACCGTAAGAGTCGGAGAGATGGCACCCCGTGTTAGCGTTTTTGTATAGCGTATTGCTCCACAACCAGGGGGGTACCACTGCCGAAAAGGGTAGTTTTGGAACATGTCGTCGAGGGCTTTCCTGAGAGGTATCGGTTGGTGTTGGCACCCTCCTAGTTGTGGAGAAATACGCTACAAAAAGACGCTAACACGGGGGTGCCATCTCTCCGACTCTTACGGTAGTCTCGTAGACAATCCTAGCCGTTTATATACCCTTCTTAGACAACTGCTCCGCTTGAGAACGCGATCCATGGGATTGGTTTTAGATCTACCATGAGTATGAGCACGGAGCTGAGGATACCCCGCTTTGGATTTTCTTCCCGACTGACCAACGTCGTTCGCTCGCATGTTACAGGTACCGACGGGTGACGATGACGACACAGTCAAGGAGGGCTTCGTCATGTTCCTTTCCTTCGCGTTTTTCGGTGCTATGCCTCTTCTGGGGTGAGTTCGTAACACCGGTTGACCTTGTATGACTGACCCCGATTTGTGGGCCGATTCCAGCAGTGTGCATGTACCCGCGAATAGTCTGGGAAGTGACGTTTGAGCACACTTGCCTTTCGTGGTTATTGCAGGAGTGGAAAGACGTCAAGAGGCTGGTTGGGTGGCATGTTGGACGAAAGATGACTGTGTCAAGAGGTTGCTAATTCTCGTTCCACCATCTAATTCTGCTTCCGTTAAACTTGATTGCAACTTTCGCAGGTATGTCATCGTACCGTTGATCAAGCCTGATTCGTCACCAGCGATTCTGTTTTTCGTTGCGTGCTTGGTGACTGCGGCCAGCTTGTTCGGCATGGGCGCAATCAAGGTACGGGCTACGCGATCCCGGTGGCTCCTCGATTGTGCTTGTCCGTCATGCCAAAACTTGTCGGTGTTGCCCCTCTGCCTCGTTCTTTTACCTGCCCGATTTCGCTAACCTGGCTGACGAATCGAAGACGCCAGTCTACGCGGGACAAAAACACGTGTGTTTTGCACGGGATCGCCCGATCTCGATCAGGTCTCAGGGGAAACTGAACAAACGAGAGTCGTGTTGCGTGTTTGGTCGTATTCGCATACACCGTGACATTTCGGTCTTGTGCGGCAATCGGTGGGACACACAAATCGCGTTGCAGCGGGGCATCACACAGCGCGTGCATGTAACCAACTCAATACCGGACGTCACACAGGAGGAACATACCTCAACAGTTTTTCTGTTTTCTCCGCCTTTATTCTGCGGTGCTTGCCTTCTCTTTCTCGTAAGTGTTCAGACGTCCCTTTCACTCAAGACGACCGTGCCATTGGAATTTTGAGTACGCACAAACGCTTCACTAACAATGACCAAACATCCTGCGACCCCCGCTGTTCCGACGCATGTCAAGAGTCAATTCGGCACCCGGCACTGGTGCACCTCCGGCACAGAAATGCTCTTCCTAGGAGGATCGTGCGCTGCGCTGGCTTTCGAAATAGGAAAGGCGGTGGACGGGCTCATCGGCCAAAATCACGGCTAATTGCGCGCGGCCGTGCACTGCTGTGCGGCGTACGTTGGTGTAGATGGGAGTATTTTACGCACAGCGTGCGAGGCTTACGTTGTTGGCTATGAAGCTACGCGTTTTTATGCCGGTGCGCTGAGTAGAAGTTGAACACACGTCGTTCGAGCACGTCGTGCTACAGCAGCTAGCCCGGAAGCGGGTATTGATTCCAGGGTCGTAACCGCTCGCTCTTGGGGGAAAGCAATATCACAATCGCGAAAGCGTTCTATTCATGATGTGCCTGGGCTATCTGCCTAGCTACCGATATCACTCCGTGCCTGCAGACTCTCCTCCTTGTGAGCTGCCGTCGTCGCGATGTTCTGAGCCTCCGCCCCGACTTCTTCTACGACTACCACTGGGCAAAAGGACGCTGCCTCATCCTTTTGCACGATTTCGTGCAGGCATAGTTTCGTGAGGCGCGCCCTTATTCTTTGGATGAGTGTGCCTAGCTGCTCGTCCTCCGCTTTGTCCTCCAGCTCCCAACGACGCGAGTGGAACACGAACAATGCCAGGACAGCTGGCAGATGCCACAGCGACGCCTTGAAGACTCCTCTGGCGTTTGCATTGGATTTGTCCCCATCAAATCGGTAGGCGTGGTAGAGGAGGTACGCATTGAAAGCTGTGCCCTCTACCGCGAACATCCAGCTCGTAGCATCCAGAGCGGCTGCTGCTAACGGAATGGGCACAAGGTACCAAGAGTACCGTGTCACGAGGCTTGCTGTTCTACTCCCTGTTGGATCGGCGCATGGGACCTGGCGAGAGCGCAAATCGAGCGTAGAGCAGGTTTCCCCGTAGGGATGGTGAGAACAACCAGTGCGAGTTGAGCATGAACAAACCACAAACGACAACGGTCTACTTTTACATGTTGCCTCTGTTGCTGCACGACAGCAGTGTACACAAATTATGACAATGACGCATCAAGGCCCACCAACTAGGACCGTTTGTAACTTTCAAGTGACACCGGGCGCGTGGAACCATATTGCTAACAAACACGTTCACGAGGACACATATGCCCACCGCACTTGCAAAAGTACCTAACACATATCATCTGCACCTTCCCAACATAACATATATGAGACACACAAGACAACCACCAAACTGTCTTGTTGAGCCTGTTACCCGCAGGGGAGATGTCCCTATATGCTGTCTGGGAAATCGTAGACATACAGGTACTTTTCTGACGCTATGAATCCATTGCTAATCTGTCTCAGACTCTTTTCTATGATGGAGATGGCTTCGTGGTGTCATATTAAGAAAAAAAAAAAAAAAGGCATCCACGACATCACAAGCGAAACATGATTTAGACGATATGATCCGAAGAAGCGTGGCACTCGTAGGCATATCTACGGCAATTGTGATGGTCTTCCACCCCCATGTTTCCTGTCCACCGCGATGTTACGTCAGTAGGGGGGCGGGCGGCACCAAGAAAGGTCCTCTACGAAAAGAAGGAATGCTTGTGAGACATCAACGACGAGCAATCCAAAAATGTGTACACCTTTCGAAGCGAACGACATGCTCACAGCGCGCCGCTGCTATTTACAGAGAAACACACGGACACAGGGAGGCGCACCGATACAGCAGTACCGACGGCATTTTGCCCATCGGTCAAAACAGCGTGTGCATGCACCTCTCACCATCGCGAAGCCCCCTCTGGCGTAGTCCTCACGGTGAAGCCAGGCAAGAGAGAAGAAGTGCGGAAATTGCCACATGAAAAGGTACGTGGCCAACAACAGCGGCTCCACGGCGACCAATTCGCCTGTGGCGGCTGCCCACCCCATCAAAGGCGGCACGGCGCCAACAACCGAGCCTACCCATGTGTTGATCTCCGACCTCGTCTTCGACAGCGTGTACGGCCCGACATACAAGAGCAGGTTGGCTGCACCAAGGGTAGCCGTAAGTGGGTTGGAGCCCGCCGCGAGAACAGTGATGCCAGCAGTACCTGACGCTACTCCCCACCCTAGCGCGTGCTGGCGCGAAATCCTCCCGGAAGGGAGCGGACGGGCCCGTGTCCGATGCATTCGGGCATCATTCGCAGTCTCGATGACTTGGTTGAACGTGTTGGCCGAGCTCGACGCGAGCATCGTGCCGACACAAGCACTCGTGAGCGCAAGGGCATCGACCGGTCCTCCAGCCGCCAGGTAACCGGCGGACGTTGTCGACATAACCAACGCGCTCAAACGGTGCTTGGACAACTGGGAGTACAACTTCATGAGATGCCCGGCCTCTGCTACCACCGTACGCCTCTTGGGTTCTTGCTGCCGTGTGTCCGTGCCAAAAGCACATGCTTCCAAGTTCGGGCCTAGCCGAACCACCCCCAAAGCTCGGGCATGTGCAAGAGGTTTGCACAACCGTCCGTGAACGCCACGCAGCAGCATGAAGTACGAGCGACAACGGTATGCTTTGTTGTGTGCAACGCACGGGCTGCGACATGAGGAGGCCCGGAGCACATTGCATGCCGAAAAACGTACATACCACGGTATGTCGTGGTATGCACATCAAGGCGAGGCAGCGCCGGGCCCCCCACTCGACTCCAAACTCCACCAGCCAGCGCCGTGCTCAAGAGGTTAACAGAGTTCCAAAGGCCGCACCTACCACTGCACCACTGACAGAGGAGGGGCTAGCCATGAACAAGAATGTGGCGGAAGCCGCCCGGCGAATATTCGGCAACCTTCCCCACAGCAATGTCCGTACTGGCAACAAGGTCTTGCGCAAGAATATCATTGGCCGGAAGATAGCAGAGGTGTGTACCAACGTACAACGCACCGTTTAACGTAGTACAGCAATACATGTATACAGAACATAGTGGCATTTGCCGTCCCCGACTTCGTAAAATCCACGCTGAGGTAAGGGCAAGCCTTCATGGTCAATATGTTTTGACGTCTTGAACGCGAAGGCGTGTACACTTGATTGGGTCTATGACTGCTGCGACGATTGGTCCATTATCATCAGCATCTTGACATCTGGACGTTTGCCTTATTGAGAGATTCAAAGCTGGCATCGAACACCGCTTCCTCCGATGCTCACAAACTCACGAATTTAGAACCCCAATACCCAAACCATAACTTCCTTCTACACCTCCCAGCATAACATACAGACAAATGTACTTTGAGTTAGGGTTAGCAGATTGGCCACCAACGGCTGTAGAGCCTGTTTTGCATACATACCCACAGGGGAGATATCGCTGTGTGCTGCTCGGAGAACCGTAGAAACATTGGTATTAGTGTTTCCGCTAACCATGGATTCATTGCTAATTTATCCTGTATTGAGCGCCACGACCCTAACTTGAAATTTGATGCTTGTGTGTGTGCGTGTGTGGAAAAGCGATCGCACTACAGGCCAGCGCGTTTGGCAACTGAAATGCCAACTCATGACAAAACAAATGCGGGAATACACTTCTGTTGTCTAAATTCTAGGTAACTCTCCTATTCGTCTCCGATCAGAGCAATCTCAGCGAACTGAAAGCGGTGGGTTACCATCAAAGTGCGCTGGGTTTCGGAACCGAATCAGAAAGGAGCGAAAGCAGCCCCATATCAGCTACCTTGTAGTCCCCTGGTGCGCTTGGTTCACTTCTTGTCCCAGAGGTTTAGAAATTCGTTTGCTATCCTTTTTTGACATCAACTGCTGTTGCCTCTACGTTTGCTGCCGTAGTGGCTCCTGATTGTCCACACAAGTCAAACCTTGGGAACAAGTTGGGTCATGTTCGGTTTGCTGTCCTACCCTCCGCATCCACCCGTAACTCTTTTACCACCTTGTCATCTACCATGTGTGGTAACCGCAAACACGCAATTTTTTGTCCTGCTGATATCCGCGTGTACTCGCCACGACCTCCCAGTACTACCCGCAGACCACAGTCCCGGACATGGTCAAAATGGCGGAGAAGGAGATTCCTGGCGTTATCATGGACCACAAGAAAGAATGGCGACGGCAAAAACGTGAACTAGACGAGGGAACAAAACGAGGTATGTAGCCGATGCAGCAGAATTCGAACACCGTGAACGTCTGCCTACATTGGGTTAAGTACCAGGATGTACGACTTGTTCGCTGGACCTTTCATGGAAGATATTGCGGGTTGGCCCAAGCTCTGCTGTCGTGTAAAAGACTCAGAGCCCAGATCAAGACAAACCGAACAGTGAGAGTAAGCAAGGAATGCGCTGCTGCTACACTCCGGCGTCACGATGTCTGTGTTGCACTCGTTCGAAAACGCCCTCAGATTTGGGCTATGTTCGTGCCCACGTGCCCACAGTGATACTCTCTACATATATTTTGTGCTGGCCGCACATTCGGCCAAGAGGCGATTGACCCAATTCAACGCCTTCTGAACGCCCTTCGTTCCGCTTTCAACACCGCGTTTCTGTTTGTTTTCTTGCGGACTTTCTCGTCCCCACCCCTTTTGCTTGTTAATAGGTTCGTCTTCGAAGAAAGGGGAGGGAAAGCGATCAACATGATGCAGGCTCCGACCGTGCTTGCATGTTGTGTCTACCGTGGGGCGTGGTCTTTGCTGTCCCAATTTGGTAGTACGACTCTCCACCAGTAAAAACAATGTCGTAGATTTTCAAGCTGCAGGGTACAGGATATCTCCGTGCTGATGGTTTTGATTGGACGGTGTTGTTCGGAGGTAGTGTTGTTTGTGTTTATGTTGGATGCCTTCTTCGTCAGGAAGAGTTGGACCCTTCCCTGTGCATCAGTAGAAATCGACCGCTCTTCGACCTGGACTCATGAAGCATCCATGGGACCGACCGATTGAATTAATCTTCCTTGGCGTGAGGCATGATGTTGCTGCCTGGGGCGTAGCATTTGTGTTGCGCGGCACTCTTGTCGTTCACACCACCTGTTCTGGTTTTGTGGCCTCGCGACAGTCCTGGGATGCAAGCAGTAGTAGCAACATATATATGTTGCACAGGTGTCCCTTACGGTCGTATGTACGTGTGGTTTGTTCCCACATGAAAAGAGTTGACATCATATGGAGAGCAGGACATGCAGAAACGATTAACAAGGACAACATGTTGAGGTGCATTTATGTATTCGTTCTGCAAGGATGCGCCATGTACACATTACTTCAATACTCACAAGAGCTCCTCCTGCTGGCGATGGCTTCATTTTGGCCATGTCCTGATTGTGAAACGGCGGAACATTGCTCGTGTATTGTAGGCGGTAACACTTTCGAAACGTGCGACTTGAAACACAACTGCAACGACGTTGCTGTAAGGTACTCTTTGATATACATTGGACATCAGAAAAACGTTGAGTGCATGCGCTATATGACACATATGCATACACACACGCCGTTTTCCGAAACAAATGGGAGGGTGGAGGGCTACCCCTGGCTAGTTTTTATTTGCAGTAGGTCGTGCAAATAGGGGTAGCCCAGGGTGGAGAGGGTGGAGGGGGTACCACACAACATCTCCTGTGGTGAGCCTACACAACATTTGCATATATGTATCAACAGATATTTGGCAGGCCACGAGCACCCAATCACAGACCAGTGACATGGTGATGCGTGTCAGCGGGTGCGCAAGACAAGTAAAGTTGAAGGCGCTCGAAGGCTGACGAGCTGACTACTGAACGAACTACTGCTGTTGAACTGCTGCAGACGAGACGGCGACTACTGTAGTCTGCGGCGCCCCCACGGCATCTTGGGGAGTTCGTAACGTAGTGGGGAGAATTTTTGGTTCGCGATATGGTTCGGGCTGGGGGCGGCTGTGGCTGCGGTGGGAAAGGTGAGGTGTGCGGGAAGCATGATTTTTGAAGTCAGGTGCATTGCTGGGTGAACACAGTGCGTGATCGGGCGAGCCTGGAGGCGAAGGACAGAACACTGCCATGCTGTCTAGTTTACGTCCCCGGCCGTGGAATGGGCATGTGCAACGAAGGCTCTTGAGTGCTGTGTTGACCCCTGCAGTAGGAACGGTGAGCCTCGACTCAAGCCCTTGGGAGAACTCGCTCGCTCGGTACTCTGATCGCTTGACATGAACGGGCGTGCACTGTGCATCTTCATCGAGCTGCTGGGGGCAAGCTGGCATTATCAATGTCCTGGCAAACCCGTGGTGATATCTTGGTGACGGTTTTGGTATCCAACAGCAGAATTGGATGTGTTAAGTGTGAAATGTGTGGGGAGTTTGTGAACGTCTCTCACGCTGGTACACCCCTGTCTCTCTCTCTTCAGCGACATGGCGCGGACGAACAGGTTCTGGTCGACATGAACGGAGGCTTTCGTGCTCTACAGCTCAAAAAGGTCAATGTGAGCTCGTACACACGAAGTATTACGCACATGGTTGCCATGCCTCCTCCGGCGGACGGCAACGCAGTGACACACGAGGACAACATCAGCTAGCTGGATTGTTGCATGTTGCATGTACTTGATAAAAACGTGCTGCGTTCGGTCAGCACGCGGGAGTTAGTTGGTCGTCTGCTGCAGAGCGGGCGAGAATATTTCGGGTATGTTCACTTTCAGTCCGCTTGCTAGAAGACCGTACTTGAATCGAACTGTCTCTCTTCCGTTCCATGAAGGAGCTGTTCAGTCTAACCGCGCTACGTGTATCAGTCACATCTCTCACCAGCACCGTGTGTTGGCTTCCGTCTTGCCTTCGGTCGATCGGGCTGGCAGGGAGTGCCGACCTTTGACCGGCAGTCTTTGATCGAAGTGCGTCAGCACTTGGAGTGGTGGGACGAAAACTTCATGGTCAACGTGAGTCCACCTTGCACGCTACCTACCACCACGGATACGCGTCAGCGGTGAACTTATCGACAGCATCTCGTTCCCCTCCGCCCAACTTTCGCCGTGCGGCACCATTGCTGTATGCTATGTGAAGTGAAGTCAACCACGTGAGCAGCAAGTCGACCTTTGCCGCAGCGCTCGCGTCGTGTACTGCCCTGTTGGACTAAGAGGTAGATAATGTCATGATATTGGTTCTGGTAGAGAACTGGGGTCTGAGTTTTTTTTTACATTTAATTTAGTATTGTGGCGCATAACATCACGGTAGATTACGCTCCTGATAATTCTTGAGGGTCCGTGTTTACAGAGAAGAATGAGTTTTACAGAAAAACGGATACCTGGTATCACATTAGCGACCACGCATCAACCAGGCCCAAAAAAGCAGCCAAAACATATTGCGAACGGGAGTAAGATACGGTTGTAGTGTCTATCATACCACGATGTTGCTTCGGGCGGCAAGTACTAATATTTTTATTGTACGCCACGGCCCCGCCTGCTCCCAAACAGCTGATTCGACGCTTGTGATCGTTGCGATCGACTTTTTGCAGGTGGTAGCGTTAAACGGAGACGGCGGAGATTTTTGCAGCGGTTTGGACCTAGCTGATCTGCGCGGAGGTCACCAGCAAAAGGTTGACATGCATGATGTAGTCGATATTGTCACCAATATTTGTTTGAATATCAGAGAAGGCCATGACAGAGCAGAGTGTCGGGCTGCCACCGGTCAGTTGGTGTTGTCTCTTGCCACTTTGGCAGGATCTTACAAAATCTTGCCCCTTTCCGGTCTGGAAGAGAATTTTCTATCAAACGGACGAGAACCCGGCGGAGACGCAAACCGTCGTATTGGTGCTTGGTGCTTCTGTGACGAAAGCGCCACGAAGAAAACGTATTACACTCCATCATGACAGGAAGGCCGAGATTTGTCTTTGCGTCGAATTAAACTCCGTCGATTTGATCTGATGGTAGCCTCCTTTCCTCTTTCTCAAGGTGAAGACTTCTTTGGAGGCTCTGTGCAACGTCGTGACTGCTCTGGACACAAGCAAGACGCCGGTTGTCGCTGTGCTGGACGGTTCGTGCATCGGAAGTGGTTATGCTCTGGCAATGGGGAGATATAAGTGAGAACTGTTTCAATTGCACACGTCGACGAGAAGGACGCACGCAATGCTCTTGAGAGACCGTTAGATTTACCCTCAGTCACGACTAGAACTGCTCCAGTAAGTCGTAGGTCACCAAGAGAATGTGGAATGGTGCCAAAAGTTCGTGGTATACATGCAATGTATGACCATTCCCGCAGAGAGACAACATGTCACCATCGTATTTGCTGTTAGGTGAACATGAATTGTCGTCATTGATGTTTCGCATGCGCGCGAGGGCACCTCCCACGCTCCAACACACGTTCGATCCCTTTGCAATCCGCCCACGTGACACAGGCTTGCCACGGAAAACTCTACCTTCCACGTGCCGGAAGCAACGCTTGGCCTTGGCCTCGCCGGGGGACTATCGTACACCCTCCCTCGGCTTCTTGGTGGAAACCAGCCCCTCGCCTTGTGCCTGGCCTTGACAGGAATGGCACTAGAGGGTCCCGACCTGGTCTTGACGCAGATTGCCACCGGCTACATGACGCACCGAAGATTGGATATGATGATGGAGCGGCTAGCAGAGGTGAGACTCTCGGTTCAGGCATGCTGGGTTTGGAACCGCGTGCGGTACGAAGGCGTGCGTGGTCTGTATTTTGCAGCGGGTGTATCCGGTGCTAATCGAAGCTTAAGCTGTCGCGTCGTCTGCTGCTGTCGTATTGTTCGATATCCCCTATCTCAACAGATTAATCAGGATCCCAAACCGTTTGGAGACAAGACACCTGACTGCAGCGAGGATCCGACTGCCGTCCAAACCCTGCTAGAGCGGTCTGTCGACTTGTCGTGGAACGTGGACGGGCTTCCAGACGACCTTTTAGATCCGCCAGAGAGTCAGATCCCTATTACACCCTTTATTCACGACCTTCTTCCTCAGGTAAGGGCGGGAACGCAGCACGCCCAGAATGCGCGTACACGATTATTTTCTCACCGCGCTTTGCGTCCTACAGTACCGCCTTGCGCTCGCAATCTTCATTCTTCAATGCATGTAAGACAGCACACCTGTGTATTGTTCACTCGTTGTTATCGACCAGCACATCCTTCACGCACATTGATACTCGATAGTTACAATGTTCTCATGTTCTCCACTGTGTGCCGAGTTGATGGGTTTTATTTAAGTGTGGCCGCCGTGCTGCCCGCCGGAAAAATCTTTGGTCCAGGTGGAGCGAGTGTTCGCGGTCGAGAGCGTAGAGGAAGCAATCGACAACCTCAAGGGACTAAGCGATCCATGGGCTAAGGTGGCCTTGCAAAACATAGGTATACTAGTGTGTGGGGGGCCTTCCCCCGCTGCTGATGGTTGAGGCATCGATACTGTTGCAACGACGCCTCTTTGTCAAGTTCTTGATACGCGCACCGTCCGTCTGGCATCTGCTCTTGCGACGTTGAATCAAATCGGTGCAGGTAACAAATTGAGAGCGAAATAAGAGATGCTCTTGCAACCGTGTGAACGTCATCGTTCTTACACATACCCTGTTTCCTTTGTACTTGCTCGAATGTTGCAGAGCGGTCATCGCCTCTCTGCCTCAAGGTGATATTTGAGCAAGTTAAGCGAGGGGGGAACAAGGACTTGCAGGAGTGCCTGGATGATGAGTTTTCCGTCAACACTCATCTTTTCGGGTTGCATGACTTCGAGGCGGCGATGCAGGCTCGTGAATCAGGGGTGAGAATATACGAACGCAAAACTGAATGAACAGCGCAACGTCTTTTCCCCACGCTTTGCATGCGCACCGAAATATCTTCACTTGGGCAAAAGATACATGCACGAGCAGCAGGTCACAATCTGGTGTTCTCCGGTCTTGTCTGTTTATCCGCTACGCTGCGCGTACCAGGGAGGCACACCAATCTGGAAATGCGGCAGCATGGAGCAGGTTTCCCAGGACCAAGTCACGGCTGTCTTCGAGCCAGAGCGACGTTCAAAAAAGTAACTCTTCGTTGAACAGTAAAAGAGAAAGCTATCAAGGTTTCGGTTCCCCGGTTGCGGGAGTGTGCCTCAGTGCAATGCAGACAAGGCCATGTTGTTGGTTTTTTCTTCCAAAGTGCTAGGTGTAGCTGGAGGCTTGCTTGACGTTCTTGGTGTAACGAAATTCCACGTCTCTCTATCATTCTAAGTGTTCCTCCAGTGTCCAGTGTCCAAGTTTCTCTTATTTTCCGTCCGCGGTAGGGGCTGTTGTCTTCAAAGAATGAAGTTCAAGATAAACAACGTTGCGCCGGTGCTGCGCTGTGCTGCTCCAAACCTCCTCGGTGTCGCTCTAACCGTTGGGGTCCCAAGAAAACGACTCCCGATCCTTTACCCTAGTAGTTACGTTGGCCAATATTTCATTCTTCTTGCTCTTCGTCGTCGTCATCGTCGTCCTCCTCCTCCTCGGCCTCGGCACCCTGCTGAGAAACCGACATATTAAATAGAGGGTGGAATATGAATGAGGGGGATCTTGGTGCTCGCGAATTTATCGTTTACTCGCATCACAAATCATCACAATCCAGCGCAATACTTGTACGGCGCATAATCCTCGATGCGCACCACAAGGTAACCATGCCCAAACACGACTCGGAGACAATCATGGCCAAATCATGTAGACTTCCAGGTCGTGTACCTGGCCATCCGCTTGCGTCACCGACGCTAAGCACACTTGTAAAGCGGCCGGGTCAACTTGGTTGTCCTCAAAAAGCCTCCGGTCCCTAACGATCTTCTTGAAGTGTGTCAAGTACCTGGGAGACGCGGAACAATTCGTGCCAGAGGACGATCACGAGGACGGTATCTGTGAGTGAAAAAAGCGGCAATATCACTCTGGCGCCCCTCGCAAGAACAGGATCACAACTCGAGCATGTGATGGTTCCTGGTGCAGGAGTACGCCATCACAGAACGCCTATACCAGGCGTGATTTGCTCCTGTGTGTGATGAAGTGGTGACCTGTCCAACTTCCAAGAACCCATTGTTTTAATCATTATTTTGGATCCCAACTCGATCCCAATACCCCAGGTTTTCGAAACGCGCTTCCAGACTTGAAGGAATCGTGCCCCAAACGCATCTCCCGGATTACGAAGCGTTTGTATCGGCTTTTCGAAGGCGCTATCCGCCGGACCCTAGTACGTTGCCCACAGGTAGAACTTAAAACATAGTTATCTCCAACACGTCAGTTTGTTGTGTGATCAAAGCGTACCTGCACCGTACCTATCTCGTTGGGATCCGGTGCTAGATGCAGACTAACTACTCACCTTTCCAAAGCCTGTTGGGTTTTACCGTACTGGGTCAGAAGTTGCACAACTGCCTCCGGCGCAGGCGTTCTTCCTTCCTTGTACCCGCCCTTGATCAACCTCGTCAGACCCTGTGCAAGAAGTGCCCACGGGGAATCGGACAAATGTCACGTGTGGATCTACAGCAATACACTAAATGTGGCTCGCATCAGGTGTGGCTTAATCAAGGCCACAAGAAAAGACGTCATGTAACAAGGAAACGGGGACGTGTCCCTGGATCAAGAACCGATAGCACTGCCCATCTCACATCAGCTAACACACTACAGTTGTGCTTCGGCTAGAGGATGTCCTAACAGGGTCTGTCCCTCCAGTGCACTCTGGCTTTTCGCGTACATGAAAACCCGAACGAAGCATTGCGGTTCTCTCTGTCCTCAATATTGTAAACGCTCACCTTCACGTATAGTCTCCACAAGGTCATCAAGTCTCTCGCAGTAAGTTGCATCACCTGCCCCGTGATCGTGTTCAAGGTCTTGCGGTCCACCTGAGCCGATCGAAACAAACATGGCGGGAGACGCTAGTGAGTGTCCTCACTTCACCCAGTATGACATGGCGAGGGAGGAACCCAATAGATGCCCCCCTTGGATACCATTCCCACGAACAACGACAGTAGACACCAAATCCAACGACAGGTAAACGGCTGGAAAACGCGGAGGTGGGGATAGGAAATATCTCTCGGGGGTACCTGCTGGGAGTGCGTACTACTGCGGATAAATGACATGAAGTCAACCTGCACGGCGTCACGTACCTTGCAACCCATCCCGGTGCATATGAGCTTGTCCAAGCGTCGAAGGAGCGCTACGGCTTCCGGTTGCGAGGTCTTCTTGCTCCGAAGCGTTGACGCTATCTGCTCGTACCCACGGGCGGCGAGTACGGCATTCAGACAAGATACGCAACGCAAACAAGAAATGCGAGGTTCGACATGACCGAGCGGTGGAAACATGGCTGGTTACCCGAAAATCAAGCTAAACTCTCCCACACACCTGTTTCGGCCCGCCTTGCACCTCAGTCATTCTCCTCAACGTGAACGAAGAGTAGGACCGCAGAAGCGGTAGAAACGGCATACCGGAGCTGGTAACGTCCATGATGCGCGCAGGCTGCCGAAAGAGAGAATGAGCGAGGGCGGGTCCACAATCAGGAAAAACGAATCGCGAGGTGTTGCTTCTGTTGTGGTCATCGTCGTTGTTCTTGTTGCTGCCTTCACACAAAAAACTACAAACCATTTTGACCTCCGTTCAGTACCTCCTCTTTCGTACTCTTCAATGGCGAACGGATGGATTGCCGTGGTCACTAGATAGCTTGACACAAACTAATGAAAATATCATTGCAAAGTAGCAGTACTTTCTGTAGCAATCTACGTGCCCCCTGTGAGCGCAAACGCGCATTCAACACGTCAACGCGTAACAAACGAAGAGATTCTCCCAACCACGTGTCAAAAACTACGCTCAACGGCATTGGTACCTTGCCTTCGTCTAATCCTGATCTCTTCCGCGTGGGGGCCTAATGTCTTTTAGCCAGGCTAATACAGCACCACAGCTCTCACCTCGAAGTACACCTCATTGCGATTCTTGTGGTTCGTTTCGTCCCTCATCTTCATGAACTGGTTCCTCACCCTGAGAAAACGGCACCATGGCGAGAAGTAAAAAACGTACCATTAAATAAGTGCGGTTCATCACAAACCTTGTCCGAGAATGTTGAAATCCTACCTCTGGCCCCGTGTCTTGTACCGCAACACCTTACCGGCCGTTGGCTTCTGAGCTGAGATCCATCGTGGTGTGGTGCAAGATCTGTAACGCCTTCAGCTTGGTTCGGTAGTCTCCTTCTGTCATCCTCAACCATAGCTTCCGGAGTATGCGCTTGTTGGGGTTGTTGGGCGAGCGAGGAGGCTCATTCCCAGCGCTCTCGAGAAAATTCATCGTGTCCTGTGTTTGCCAGCAGAGAACAGGGACCGAAAAATAGGGTTGTAAGACTGACGACAGATTGGTAAAATAAAATTGGGCCGGTGTTGGTTCGTTGGGTTGCTCCAGTCTTACTATTAATTTCAAGTACGTTGTGTGGGCTGTTCGAGTTTTCTTTTTCATCTTGCGCCACCTGTTGATGACTACTGCTCTGCTTTCATGAGCCCGCTCCAGCGGGCACCCTTGCTGATGTATACGCATACGAGGATGCATTTCGCAACATCTTCAAACATCGCATTTCGCAATAACGCGTTCATTCGAACACCCCGAAAAGTCAAATCCGAGGCCACTTCTTTAGGACCACACGGCGCTGACCTTCACCCAGGCATCGTCGAGAGCTCCATCATCCGGCCATGTCATTTGGATCATGAACTTCTCCATCTTGCTCGAAAACCACACCGTCGTCTTTGCGATGTTCCTCCATTCCGTCACCTGGAGGCAGAAGTCAAATCGTATCGTTATGGATAGCTTGTCACAAGGCCAGTCAAATTATTCTGATTCGAAAACCCTGTCCCAAAAACACATTTTGCCTGCGCTTGGTAGCGCGAAACACCTTGCAAAACACCTTATAGTCTATGCCATACGCATAAAGGGTCGCCTTTCAAGGTTTCATGTCTCAGAAGGCGGTAACATCGGATTGACATTACATTAGAATGAAGGATTTCTCTTTCAGAATATCTTGCAGTTGTAAATCTCATGCACAAACAATAGTTGCACATGTTAAAATAAAAACATCCAATCCATCTACTAGTTTGGGCACTGGCTCGTATCTTCATGCACACCACTCCTAGCAAGCAAGCTGGCTAGGAGTGGTGCCGCCAGCAGTTCACAGAATCTACGGTGTCTACATATACAGCAGTACAGACAACCGGTACTCTGGTCCCGTGTACAACCTCACAGAGCGGCGCACTCACACATGACATCGCGGCATGGCTCACCTTGCCCTTGGCATCTTCTTGCATTGACGCAGCCTTGCCTTTCATCGTAGCTGCCAAACCTGATAGCATGCTACTCTTAGGTGGGCTACGCCTGCTAGGCACCAGCTCCATCCCTCGGCTCCTGCGTCGCGATGTCCCGCTTTCCTGATATCTGCGAAACAGTCAAAAATGCGGTTGTTTGTTTGTATGATGGATTTTGTCTTAAAAAGGCATGTTTCCACAAACGCTGAACCACGCCCCCCACCTACATGAAAATCACAGAGACTCAACATCGATGTGCCAGCTTCTCGCAGGTGCATTCCACCTCTTCAGAACTGTTCGTCGCCTATGGTTTCCAGGCAACAATGTTGAATGTGCTGTCATGTCATGTTGCCACGCGTCTAACCCTCGTAAACGGGACCAACCTCGAGCTCGACCGAGATGACCCTGGTGTCGACGATGGCCGCACACGCCTGCCAACCGACCCATCGTCACGTGCTGCTCGGCTAGATTTGCTACTAGATGAACTCCTTGTTCCCTTTTTAGTCTCGCCGTCCCAACCCTGAAACTCTCGCTCATCCTCGTCAATGTCCCTGCGGCTGGGACGGCTGCTGCGTGAGGCCTTCGTCGACCGGCGTTGTTGACTTCCTGCTCGTGGAGCACCCTTTGAAGCAGCTGCAGCACCATCAACTGCGAACAGGACGACAACCGCCAAGCCCAGTAGAGCAAGTCGACGGTGTCCCATAGCTAAGGACACGGCGGTGGTAGCCGTCGGACCAACCAAAGAGAGAGGTGGGGCGGCGGCAGCTGCAGGACACAGCACAGGATATGCGGCGATGCAAGGCGATGGACAGAGGGGGTACGCGATAGAATTTTGGCACCCCCCTTCATTCAGTCAGACTGCGAGAGGTGAGGCTGGAGGTGCCACCAGCGACGGACATACACATACATGAGAGCAGCATGCCGACGTCTGGTTCTGCGCTATGTCTGTCGGTTGGCGCCGCTCTAGGCGTCCACCTGGGGAGCGCCTTTATAGCGCCTTTGATACCTGTCGGACGCCAACCAAGTGCTTCTCCTCGAGCGTCTCTGGGTTTCACGATCATGTCGTCAGGTGTGTTTCCTCACCGAGTACGGAGTAGTAAGGAGAGCACGCCAGCAGCAAGTAGTAGCGTGCGGCCTCCAACGACCACCACACCGTCACATGAGGACATCCACTGTCGGCTACTGCATGTGCCTGCCATAGACACCGGCAGGGCGACGAATTAATCTCAATTCATCAGCAGAGGATCAGAGATCTGAGGATCATGATTGCGCCGCATGTCTCAAGTCAGGACCCGTCGGTGACGGCATGTTTCATGTTTCCGAACAGGTAAAGCGCTGATCGCACAAAACAAGGGGGGTGGACATGGTGAGCTTGGCTACCACCTAGCTCTCAAGCTGATCGAGAAGGATATCTCTGTGACGTTGCTACAGGACGGCGCCGGCAAGAACAAGGACAGTCAACCGTTTGCAAGGTGGGTGCACAGGTCTAAACTGCGGTATTTTGACTACCGCCGTTTGTGCTGCTGCGATTGTGCATGCAGCAGTCCTGCTGTTTGCTGTTTATATTTCATGGCATAATACCGGCCCGTCATTGTGTATGTCGTCCTACTGCTGTAGTTTCTGGAAAATATTTAGGTTTAGGTTAAATGTGAAATGCCAGAATTTATTCGCAGGGTTTGGTTGCCGCCCATAGTTGTTTCGCCCAGAGTGGATTTACGCATCAAAGACGGTTGCGAAGACACATTAGGTACGTCACACCTTCGAATAGGTGTCAAGTGAGAGCAACAGTAAAATATGTGTAAGGGGTATTGTGGTGTTTGGTTAGTATCGACCACGTGCCGGATGTGTGTGGTATCATTACATCTGTTCTTGATGACAGGTTACGCCTTACGCCTTTCGTTTTGGTTTTAAGAGGCACGATTGTTGGAGCGGGGGGTAAACAGAAGACCACACAGCAGTTCTGTTCATGAAAATCAAAGGGTTCTCTTTGAAGCACCCCAGGCGACTATCCAAAGGTATGACTCTGCCGCACTGGATACTGGTACCAACAACGGCCAAGTCAACACGTCTTGTCTCGCGAGTGATGTGTGGCTTGGCATGCGTGCGGCAATGAGAAAGCATTGATGATGTTTCCGTCGCCTCTGCTTCTCTGCTACTTGCTGTTGCAGCTACGGAGACTTGGAGAGCAAGGGGGCCACAATCGTGTGGGGCGACTTTTCTGAAGGCGTAGGCAAGCTCATCCCGGAAGGGGAGTCGTTCGACTATGTATTCGACAACTATGCGAAGGACGTCGACACCTGCAAAGACTTGGCAGACTGCTCCAAAGCATGGTGCGTGTTCGTCTGGAGCTTGTTGTCATGGTCATGGCCGTCATCCAATACCGAGTAGCGAGTAGCATGACCATAGGGGAACGTAGTTGGTGCCCACAAGCCGTCGTTGGTATCTACTGTACAATGCAAATGCACATGGGAAATTGACGATAGTTGGGGTTGTTTTGACGCAGTAGGCATCGTTGCACTCTCTACAAAGTGTGTCACCAACGCGCATTGGCATATTGCTTGTAAGCAAGGCGTGGTCCTTTGTTACTGAGTTGTTTATTGTTTCAGGTGTTCCGGACGTGGGACGCAGCCATTCCTGCCAACTCTTGTTTGATTTTCACAGCTCCGTGCGGAGGCGAAGGCCTTCGCCCAAAATCATCAACATGCGATTACTTGTCGACTCTTGCAGCACTTCCATACCGTTAATGCCTGGATCGCTGCTGCATTTGTATTGTGTTGCAGGGGTGTAAAGAACTACGCATACGTGTCTTCGGGCGGCATGTACAAGGACAGTGACGAGGTGGGCTTGGCACCATAGGCAAGGACAGGCATTAGATGAAGAACAAAGTACAGTTTTTTCTGTTTGCCTCATTTGAGGACGTGATCGATTGTTCCCAGAAACTCATGGTATTGCACGCCGTTCGCAGGTGCCCTTCACTGAGAGTAGCGACGTCAAGGAGAGCGGCCAGCGCCAGGTGGAGAAGTACGTCGCTGACTTGGGTCTGCCCTGGACATCGTTCCGGTGAGCCATGCGAATCTGACCAACTCGTGTTTAGTTGGCGGGTCTTCTATGCACAGTACTGCTGTGCGTCGTTTTTGAAAGCCATCTGTGTACGTTGTCGCGAATGAGCCTAGAGGCTTTGTTTGGTTGCACACATGTTCATAACCTCCAAGTAGGACGACCTCAAAGCGCAAGGACATAACTCTTTCGCGCATCGACAAGAAGGGCCTCCTGTACGCACAGGGCCTCCTGTACGCACAGTTCAAAGTATCCCCGAAAAGTACACACGTTTGCGTTTTCCCGCCATCTCGACTCGAATCCCCCCCCAGGCCACAGTATATCTATGGGCCACTCACCAACAAGCGCGACTACCTCGATTGGTTCTTCGATCGTGTCGTGCATGGATTGGAGTTTATTCCACTGCCCCTGCACGGCGATCAGCTCGTCGCCCTGACGCACGCGGAGGATGTGGCATCCATGCTCGCTAGCGTCGTCGGGAACGAACGTGCCGTGAAGCAGGTAAAAGAGCGAAGGGCCGGCCCTTGGTACTCGCAGTTATTGAAAAGAACCAGCGTGGCAGGAATTGTAGGGCCTTGATGGTATGTGGCTTTTGCTGAGGAGCTGCCTGAGCTAATTTCAGCTGAGGGTTTTGACTCAGCGCAAGACCCGCGGTTGCTTTTTTTTTGTCTCTAGATTTGCTTCCTCAAGGCACCCTGATACTGACACCTGTGACTGTCCACAGGTTTTTAACTGCGCATCCGACAGGTACATCACGTACAACGGGCTCTTCCGTGAAGTCGGGAAGGTATGACACTATCCTGTAGGACTTTTTCGAATGGAAACGGAAGCCTTCGGGCTTTTAATGCTGCTGCTGTGATGAGAGTACCTATCTTGGTCTGGCCGAAGCTCTCGAGGCTACTGGCGTAGTTTGAATCCAGGCAGACTGCAAAGGAAGCGATGGTGTTGCAGCGCTTTCAAATGTAGTCGCTGCATGTGGTTCAAGCTACGCACGTTGTTTGTCCTTTCTCTCGCTACGACAGGTGGCGAAGCCCGCTGTCTCCAAGATGGCGTACTACTACGAACCTCGAGACTATGACCTCAAGAAGGGCTGGTTCCCCTTCCGCAACAACCACTTCGTTGTCAACAGCGAAAAAGTAAGTACGGGGACGCTCGGCCATGTATTTTTAACGTTGTAGCGTTGGAGGCGGCCTAATGTTGCATTGCTCTCGCGCGTCGCTGGCAGCAACCGGAGAGCCACACATTTCACCGATACTTCGCTTGCTGCATTGGATGGGTTCACGGCCAAAACCTTCTGCAAGTAGAAGGTCGAAAGTTTGCAACTATACTCGCATAGTGAGAAAACCGCTCTGTACGGTATTCTTCAATTTGAGCCACGAAGTGGAGCGGGGCGATCAATAGCAGGGCACAATTCTCCTCGAGCGGCATGGGTTGCTGTGTACCGTGGGGCGAACAGCGGTTTTATTTTGGCAACATCATGGAGCGGATCGAAGCGGTCTATCGGTCGCACGTTAGTAAATACTTCTCTAGCGACGGTGTAGCGTCAGAGAAGCATCGTCAAAATCTGATGGATATCTGTGTTTCGTAACTCTCCTTGGGTTTGGTGAATTAAAAATTGAGTGTTTTTCGAGGTGCGCTGTGCACGAACACCAGTGGTGATTCCATCCGAGGCCTGGAGTCAGAAAAGCCTGTACGGAAAAGTGGGAAAAGTAGTTACAAATGTCGACTTAGTACATTCACTTGTCCATTGGCAGCACATTTTCGCGCAGTCGAAAACTGACTCCCTACGGTGATACGCATTCAACCGTCGTGTCTCTGGTGGGTTGCAAGCACATGTTCAAATGGTGTGTGTATTTGTGGGTTTCCGCATAGTCTTGCTCGAAAGCATGACTACATGAACACTTCAACGAGAGCACGATTATAACGGAGTGTAGTTGTACCGTGTTTTTTGTGGACAGCTTCATGGAACGGACCGATGTCTTCTTCTAGAATAGTTAAGGGGTGAGGCCGAACGGGTGAAATCCCTGCCGTGCAACGCAACCGCTCCGTCAGCATTGCATTAGTTTTCTTGCCTCGAGAGTTTTACTGTTCCTAAGTTCAATGTTGGGCACACTCCGTCATTGACCCCGTTCTCTCGTTTAACCCCCCAACGTATCGTTGCTTCTCCTTCGCTCAGGCGAAGCGGTTGCTCGGCTGGAGCCCAAAGCACACGATCACGGATGATCTGGCGGAGTACTTCGAGGGGTATAAGGCTGCTGGCAAGGTTGAGGCCGAGCCGAATTTCAACAAGGTGAGGGAGCATTGTGCAGCTCATGTTTGGTCCCTTTGTGCCCCTTGTTCTTCGGTCGTTGTGGAACTCATTCGTTGAAATGCAAATGTGCAGTCGCGGTTGCCAAAGCGCTTGGTTCGTTTTCGAAGAGACCTGACGCAAGCTCTTCTCCTGCAGCCGTTTTTTGGGCTACCCACATATCATCGCGCAATTCAGCACACCCGATGGTATCAAACAAAGCAATGCCGGGGCCGTTAAACGTGCAGGACAAGCAGTACCAGGACATGGCGACCGCGCGCGGGAATCAGGCATCTTGACGGCCCATTTCGCGCCTTCCAAGTACCGCTGTATGGTGAACCTGAATGTGTCTGCTTCTGCGCCTGTCTCCCAGGACGACGAGATTAACATGAGCTGGAATATGGAATACGTGCCATACATGGCGCGACTCGAGTATCGCCGAAGATTCCCAGACCTCGATGAAGAAATGGCGGAGTTGGCGAAAACCTACCAGCCCGAGGATCGTCATTTCAACTCTGCCATCTTAGATTCGATGAAAGAAGAATACCGTAATGCATTCCCGGATGAGCCCGATATTGGTGCAGAAGCACGGGCGCAGGAGCAGGCGGAGTACGACGCCTACATGGCTGCCCACCCGGGATTGAAAGAAAAGCTAATTCAGCAGGAGGAGGAGGAAGCTGTTGCGAGTATACCTCAAGATGTATTAAACCGGATAGAGGGTATGCTTAGTGAAGAAGACGATGGAACGGTAGTGATGTTAGATTAGACTAAAATATCGGGAGCTATAAACTGATGCGATTTCGTGTTGATAACGACGTGGTTTACCAGTCTCCGGCCTTCGGGACATTTCCCATCGCGAGCTTGTCTGAGTACGGAGTACCTGCAAGGATGCGAACAAGATGCAAACCAGTATCTTATCATGGATGAGTACAAAAAAATCCGATTTTCTCGATCCCGGCATAAATTTGCGAAAGGCCCCCCAACCCGTGTAATTCCTAAAAGTTGCTGTTTACCTGGGCAGAGAACAGATTCAGTCGAAAGCTCCATGTAGCGCCTGCCTGCTTCACACCATTATATTGCAGTTTTTTTTCGTTTGTTTCGTTCGTGCTATCTGTTCTGGCGCCAGTCTACACGGCTTTGGGTGTATCACCTATCAGCCTGGGTTACACAGCTTTTGTTGTTCTGTTTACATTTTGTTGTTCCAACGCCCAACCTTTCCTCCTGCGTGATTGCTTTAGTTTTTTTCGCGATAAGGATTCAGCCGTCCCTTTCCCTCCCCACTTCATGTGTTCACTCACGAAACAATCGTTTTCACCAAGAATTGCTCGACTTTTACACTTGAGAGAGAATCCAACTGACAACCTGCCGCGATTAGGTGTACGAGGGTTACCAGTAGACCACGGGGGCGACCGACATCAACACTTCACGCCCGTGTGTTGTAGTGTTTCACGTGTACCGAACTCTGGCGTCTTGCGCATCACTAACTTGCCCGCTCACGCCTGCTGGCTTGTGACTTGTTGGCCAAAAATGGCTCCGATTGCAATCAACCTGACTCCAGCTCGAAAACTACAATCTCGTTGCAAGCTTGCTGACCATTCCATCCCCCGAAGACGAAGAATGCGTTGCCCACTGAAACGCACGTGTGACCGTACCTGCAAAAGTGCGTTAAGGCATTAGCTACTAAAATACTTGCTTCACAAACTTCTCCTGGATGACCTTCCAAGCGACGCTCAACGGGAGTCGTACCCGAAAGACCGAGATATTGGACTGCTTGCACGCGTTCCGGAGGCCCAATGTGGCCTGCCGTTTGGGGCCTGCTTCGTACAAAAATGTAGCTACGAGTACACAACCGGCGTAAGAACTGCCCTATCTGCAGGATCCAAACTTCTGGCGGTGCCGATACAAAGCTCACTTACTTGTGTTCTGGCTCCCCGCGGCCTCTTAGAAGTGGAAGGTTGGTCGACACTGCTTCATGTGGAAGCATGCTGCAAGCGGCAAGCGTCACCGCCCCAGCCCGCTTGTTGTTTTCGTGGTGTTGAAGACCGCCCAGACCCCACCCGCCAAAGAGGAGTGCCGCCCGCCCTTCTTCGTCAGACGTCAGCGTGTGATTACACCGCGATGAGATCCGAATACCTGTAGTAAGCACGACCGTAGATTGATGGTGGGCGGTCGCACTGCACAAAAACGTGTGTTTCTGCAAGTACACCAACCGGTTGTTTTCAATCTCTCAGGCCGTGCAACCGCTTCTTTCGCCAACATAAACATTTCAACAATCAATGTACTTCTCACCACCAGTAGTTTTCGCCTTGGACCAGAGCATGGTTTCCGTGTCTAGTTGCCTCAAGTCCTTGTGGTAAACGGGCACACACTTCTCGTCTATAGTTGCTCCTCCAGACAACAGTATTCTTCCATCAGGAAGGAGCACCATTGCGTGCCCATACCTGCAACAAGTGAACAAATGCCAACTCTGCTGTTAGCCCTATGCATGCAGTCTATACGCCTATGGTAGGAAGGCGATCCGCTCCACGGTTGGTGTCGCGACGAGAACATATTGGTCGAAGTTCGACTGCATTTGCACGAGTGCACGATCCTGTAGACTCCTGTGTGACTTGCGGGGCCGTAAGGCAGGTAGACGACGAGAGTAACGATTCCTAAATGGGATGGAAATACATGTATAGACTATGTATACAAAAAGAGACACCGCCAAATAATTCAGGCTTCCTACTTCCCCAATGAAGTCGGAAGGGCTTTGCTTGTCTTGGTGTGTCGGACTCTCTTACTCGAATACCGTGATCGAAGAGGTGACTTGTGGCATTTCCGCTCCCGGCACACACCTTGCTGTCGGTGGTAGTCCTCCTGTCCTCGGTTGCATCCAAGCAAACGAATCTGTGTCGAACACCCAGAGGTCTTCGTAACAGTGATTCGAACCATTCCAGCCGCCGTGGACGACAATCTTGTGGCCAACCAAAACAGATGCCTGCCAAAATCTGTACGGGGACAGGCAAAAAACTTGAAATGGTGTGTGCGCCACATCGCACCAAAGGAAATAGGCAGCCTCCGGTGGCAGGTCATAGCCACCACACTCCGGACTCTCCGCCCACCCAATGTAGAGGGCTCCATAGCGTAGATGATTTCATAGTTTTGCAGTACCCGTCTCTAGTGCCAGCTCTTGTGTAACACTTACGCTTCTTTAGCTTTGCCCACCTCGGAGATGGCCCAGTAGAGGTAGCGTTTACTGCAACCCATGTCCAATCAACAAGGTCCAAGAAATGCACATCCCTGTACAGCTGCCCGCTTCGCCCTTTTCCACCAACGATGAACATCCGCGAGCCAACTAGGTGGCACGAATGCCCGTAACGAGCATCTGGTAGATCTCCTCCACAGCGTACTTCCTGCCACGTCATTGACTCTATGTCCAGCACCCAGGTATCGGCAAGGTACGCAAATTCACCCTATGCAATGGCACAGATGGATGTAGGCGACAAAGAAGAAGTATCATGTCAAGGGCGGATATCATTAATAGACGCGAGGCATCGCCGCCGTAGGCCAGACTGCAACATTGCGATCAGGGAATGAATGTTGTAAATGTTGTAGGCTTGTTGCTCCCTCCGCTACAAAGCTGGAGATGTGCACTTGCGCTACCTTCTCGATGCTCCTCCTTCTGTCATCACATGCTTGTGACGCCAAGCGCGAATACATACGCTTAATCATTCGGTGGAATCCGTGATCTGCTTCCTTAACGTCGAAGCGGCACTCGCCCTGTGTCGAGCCACTGGAAAGACGTCTGAACTGGGCGATGAAAGCATATAGACAGGTAACATTCTCAGAGAGGGTTCTTTCACAAGTTTGTTGTGCAAGTCTTGAATGACGAACTCCTCACATTTCCCTTGTAGAATGTGCCTCCAAATACCACTAGTTGGAAGTCAGCAACAACGCAGGTATGCCCCCCTCGTGCGGGAACACGTTCACCGTTGGTAGAGGCCTGTACTTGCGGGGAAGTCAAAGGGCCGGGGAATATGATGGGGTGGGGTAGACACACTGTGTAGTACAATCAAGCGAGTAAATGTCTACACAGGAGGGGCAGTGTACCGTCCGCTCCTTGAAATGGACTTGTAAACGTACGCATATCAAATCGTCCATTGTTGCTGCTGCTGCTGCTGCTGCTGTGCTACCATGCGATTCGGCAACGGAGGCAGACAGACAGCAGTAAAGCAGTAGATCATGTTTCTGTGTGCACTGCTTGGTTGGATCTCCTGCAAAAGGGCACCAGCCCACCGTTGTTTCAACTATACAGACCGCCAGCGAGTCACGCCTTGCTCTGAATACATGTACAATTGTATGCATAGCCCGTCTAAGAAGCAGTACAAGTACTGCTATATATGATGCAGCCGCAAAGCATAACGCATATTGCAGCGGCAGAGCATGCTATGGCCTATTTATTCCGTAGACAAGCAGTACCTACAGACATCGTGTACTATGTACAGAGAGGCACACCTTGGTCCACGATACAATGGGGGCGCTCATTTCAGCGTACTATCCTCTGTTCCTATGTGTCGCGCCTGCAGGCCAGAGCTATTCGGGCGTTGCGTGTGTTGCGGGGTAATTTGTGTGTGATCTCTTTCCCATCGTGTATAATTAAATCGATACTGCCGCAGGAAGGGGTGTAACGGCATTTTGGAAAGAGGCGTTTCGCCGGACTGTCAGAAGTGGCAATGGTATGCTTACCATGCATACAACCTGAACAGCTGACATGCAATAGTAGGAAGTGTCTTCATCAGTGTAGCTCTGTCCCTCTCCCAGCGTGAGTGTGTACGTGGTACCACATGCTATCGATTTACTGTTGTGGCAGAGGCAACGCCAGAGACTTCAGCCGCACACAAGAAACCTTGGGGGCAGAGCGATTTTGTGGGAGCGGTCTCTACCGGCCAGAGAGATGGTAACAACGTCATGTGGACGGAGCATCAGTTACGGGAATATTACAACGGCGAACGTGAACCAGCTTAGGAAGATGAACGCTTCGCTATTCCCAGTCCGGTATCCCGACCAGTTTTACGCTGATATCCCTGACGCAAACCCGGACTTCAATCAGTTGGGTGAGTTTTGCAGAGTGGGTAATCCGCTGTTTGCAGCAGTGTATGTATGGTGTGCTGCTGCTGAATGTCATCCGGTAGGTCCTGCCGAGATGGTTCGAACGGTTGCACGTAACCCCGTCCGCTGTGGTCTGCTGGAAACCATGTATTAAAGAGTAGAAGTAGTACACACGGCGACTGCTACCGGAGCCAAGACACCAAGCTGAAATACGCACCAAATCTCCACCTCATAGGTAACACTTAGGTCAAGGGAGTGCGAACACTTCAACAAAGGGCTTACCGTAGAAATTTGAAATTTCAAGGTGTGCTTTTATTATTGGTATATTAGCATCGACCGCGCTAACGGGCTGGCCAATCAAAAGACGTCAGCCTCAGTGCGGTTGAAAACACACCATGCTTCAAAAGCCGTGATCTGGGACCGTGTGGGGGAGCGTCATGGGGGAGTCTACGCTACTCTCATGAGTAAGGATAAAAGTAGTTACCGGATGCATGGCAACAACAGAAAAGTGCACGTGTGTACCATGGTTGCTACTGCTTTGGACGTTCGTTCGTTTCGGAGTGCTTTCATGCAAGGTGTGCGTGTTCGTCCCATCTATTCTGGACGCCGGTCTACATGCACCTTTCGTAATATATTTCACGCACCACCCAGGGCCACACATAAGTTACACCGTTTTTCATTTTTCCTTCACCTTTCCCCCTCCGGTGCTTGGCTTCCTTTGCAGTTACTTCGGTTCCTTCCTCTCGCTGTGTTAACTCACGACCGTGCAGAATTTTTCACTCTAGAATGATACCAACCCGCAATCTAGATAGCAATAATATTGCCAACTGAACGACCTGGGCGACCGGGCAAGCTGGATGAATCATGAAGAATGTTGCCCTGCCCTTCGGTAATCCGCGGAAATGATGAGAAATCTCCATTCAGACAAGCAAGACCTTGCAGTGGGCAGGGTGCTTGTGAGGGATCCTTGATGTATGGGGTGACAACAATCATAATACGGAGTTGCGTTGCTTTGGTAGTTTAGGAAAAGCAAAATGTGAGGGTACTTTTCAAAAGTAAGACGTGTGGGGTGGGTGCGAAAACATACACACGAGACTTCCCCGTGCATGGCCCAAACTCCTCTGTACACCCAGAGATCTCCGCTCTCCGCTCGCTAGTGTAAAGCAAGAAACTGCCGTTGCGTCACTTTACAATTTAACCGATTTTCGGTGAAACATTTACATTTTGGAGTCGCGAATAAAACGGGGCAAATGGTTTGACGCTGATATGCCGCGGTGTTGTTGAGAATTAAAACGTGCCGCAATTCAGAACGAATATCGATTATCATGCTCTACAGTAGCTTAAGTAGAGCCGGCAGGGCCTCAAAATCGAGCAGGGACCTGAGCTCCGGTGTGCATGCTTTCGCACACATCCCTCTGCTCTCATAAGGGCCTGGTATACCCCCAACACTCCGGTGTTTCCGAAGCGGACAAGACGGAGGCATGTTTTCCCCCTCACCACACTTCCAGATCCTCGCTAGCGACGACCTACAGTAGTTCCGTCTGGAAATTGGAAAACCTGGACCGTTGTGCGGGTACTGTCGGTAGTTTGCGAAGGTCGTGCAGCGCTCGGGGAGATGTGTGTAGTTCAAAGGGTAAACTGAAACAGGGTCGTGTGCCCGAAAATAATTCTCGGACGATAAGGTTGCGGATACTGCATACGCAACTAGTCTGTTGATAAATGTCAGAGTTTACTCTGGGCTTACTACGGTCTCTCGTGCCATTGACCGTTTTCAGTGTACGTTGACAACGTGGCCGTTGGAGCGGTTTGCTGTCGAATTGAGCCCCCAAAGTCGCCAGGAGGACACGATTCGCTGTACATCATGACTCTGGGCGTACTTGCAACGTGGCGACGACGTAACATCGGGACCCATCTGCTGCGGCGAGTACTGGAAAGCCTACCACGTCACCCTTCGGTCAAAGAAGTGTACCTACACGTGCAGACAAATAATGACGAAGCAGTTGGATTTTACAAGGTGAAGTGGCAGGAGATGTGTGTCTCTGGAGTGTTGGACTAATGCGTGGTTGTTGGTCCTAACAACCTTGCGTGATTTATGTGCTAAATGGGAGCGTCGATGCACTCGAGTGTTATGCACAATTAATTGTGAGTGTTATTCACAATTAATTGTGCATAGTCAGAGGATCCGTAAAACCCACGTCTCCCTGCCTCTATTCCCCCTGATGCTCACTCAACCGTTGAACTCCTTGCTGGCAGTGTGTAAACATATCTCTTTAACTTGACATTACATTGTGTGACAAAATTGACAAGATACATTCTGTCTGCCCTCACATGTTATAATTGCTTGACCCGTCTACCACATTGTTTTGGTCAAAGAAACAACATATGGTGGGCCAGGACGTCGACTCGTAGTAGCACACGAGCGGTTTGGGTCGGATTTCGTAGCTCGGAACAAGACTGTCGTACAAACAAACACCAGCATGTGTGTGAAAAGAGGGAATCGTTCTCGACGAACGTTGGGAGATCGTAGCCTTTATCAAGGTGATCTCCACATGACCAACCCCCATTTGAGTCTTCTTGGTTGCTAGTCAAGAAGGTTTCTTAGGGTAACCGGAACCCGACCGGTTGGCGGCGATTCACCTCTTCACAATCTCCTGTGCGTGATTACACGAGTTCGAAAATCTTCTTTTGGTCCCCCATCAAGGTTATCTCCACACATGCCTTTATACACAAGCGAGTGACGTCAGTAAGAGCGAAAAACGCAAGTCGGAAATGACCCATATATTATAGAACCAGCGGAAGGTTCGGAGTCATGTGAAGCTCCATGAGGTCCCACGGACGCCCCACATGGTCCGAACGAAGATTTATAAGGATTGCCACGAAAAACCCGCGAGGATAGCTCGGTCGCCTTTTTGTTTGTTCCACTGTTTGTTTTTTGTTTTGTTTCATTTGGCTGGGCCTCGCCTGTCGAGTAGGAGCGGTGGGCTCTGTGCATCGATCTCCTTTGTCACCTGCGAAGTCTGTATCTGTTACGGGGTTTTCTTCTGTTTCTTCTGGTTCATATTATCGCGTTTCGTGTTGATTTGCCTGGGTCCTTCAATCCTGTTCGATTGCTCGTATTGCTCGTATCAGCCCTGTTAGGTAGTTAGCCTCCGACCATGGAAGGCGTCCGCGTCAGTTGGACCCGACGGATGGCACAAGGTACCTAAACACACAGCAACCCGTGTAGAGCTCAAACTCTTACCAATACCCTTTCCCTTTCCTGTACCCGTTACCGCCCCTCAGCGACAGAAGCAATCCAAGCAATATAGAGAGACTGGCAACATGCCCCGAAGCCAATAATGCAATGCTTCTTCAATCAAGGGTTGAAGATTCTCGCTGCTCTTTTCTCCACTCATTCCAATGACCCGTTTGCAGGAGCACGGATTCAATGTCGAGGAGACGATCGCGAACTACTACAAGCGTATCGACCCTCCGGACTGCTTTGTGCTGAGAAAGAGATTGTTTCAACAAGGAGACAAACGTTGAACATGCCCTCCATGGGTTGACGACATCGCCGATTGCAGGGCCTCCAATGATGGTCGAAACCAAGGCCTGATTGGATACCGTCAGCAGAAAGCTTACCAGGTGGTGGGGCCCTTGAACCCATGGTCTACTCTATCTTGCCATGCGCCCCCCTTTCTTCCTCGAGCGCTACGAAGTAGTCGTGCACGAACTTCACGTACAGTCCCAAGCTGAAGGAGCCCCTGAAGAAGTTGCACGACAGATTTACCTCCAGGAGATACACGCCCTTAGTCGTGAGAGCCACGTCCCAGCCTACCAACGGGACGTCCGGTAGCAGCTTGAAGTGGGCGTCGGCAACAAGGTCCAGCTTGCCCTGAATGTCTGGAATCACTTCGCCCGTGATCAACCTGAAGATCACCATTGGTATCGTCGACGCAGTAAATGCGTTACATGGGAAAGCCACCACAAAGCGTGTGTACGCGCAAACATGTACGAGGCAGATGTAACCGACAGCAACATCCCCAACTCACTTGTTGTTGTCCGGGTGATGCGTTACATCGTGAGTAGATACCCAAGGGGTGTTGAACATCTTGGTTGGGCCAAGCTCATACCAGTGAGCGTTGGTAGTGCCCTTCAGTAGCGTGCCTGTGCTCGCGTCGACGTCAAAGAGAATTGATGAGTGGTCTGTGTCCGCGTCTTGGCGCCCCGCACGAAAAACGCATGAGAGCGAATCGACGCAGCTTGGCCCTGGAATCTTTCCCTGCCGCTTCTCAAGCCACCACCTGTCGCAGTTCGCGAATAACGCAGACAAATTCGACAGGCTTCAGCACATAGTCATCGCTAACCGGCGCCACCTTCTGAACGAAGTCGCCAGTCGTGGCAAAACCCTATCCAAAAATACCTTGTTCTACCACTTCATCGCTTCAACAGCCCAAAAAGGCGGGGCTAATGACAAGCTTGTGGACGCGGGCTATATCCACCCAAGGCTGAGATGCTGTTACCCGCTTTCGACCAAACTAATAAAACACCTCAGCGGCGTCCAGCAAAATCCACCACGCGTCTATTGGAATGGTAGCCTTGCGCACCCTTTCACTTGTTCATGAACTGGGCCAAGGTGATCACCAATCGAAACTGATCTCACCTGGACGCGCTGATGACCCTCATCGTGGATAAAGGGGCCCTATCAGGTAGGAGTGAGGTTACAAACTCATCGTTGTCAAGCCTCTCCTGAATGATCCAGTCCCCTCCTGCTGTGGCGTTCTTGAAGAAGTAAAGACCCATCCCACCCTATGTTTAGAAAGTTCGAAAAAGACGACGGCTTCAGATAGACACCACGAGACCAACATATACAGCACGTACGTCACTCACTGGAATCTTCAATCGGATATGCATGCATACCACGCGCATTTTTCTCACCTCCTCGTTTTTGTCCTTGATCACGACTGCCGGTATGTCGAGAAACGGGGAAATCGGCACCCCCTTGCTCTTGCCATCCCTGAGGAAGGTCCACTGTTCACACAAGAAGCAAGGTCGGTCGGGGGCCACAAAAACAAAACAGCAACGCGTGTTGTCACACCAGATACTTGAAAAAATAGTGTCACACCAGATCGCCATCTGAACGGGAGCGTTGGGTATCAAACAATAGTTGACACAGGTGGTCTGACATCAGACCTCTACCTTGGCCGCACAAGCCCCGAGGGCACTACAGCACCCAACTCACTTCCAAACACGCAAGTACCATCGTCCGTGGACGAGAGCTCTACACTGCGTATGTATGCGTGCAACACAGCACTCAAAGGGCCGTGTCACTCACATAGGACGACGGGCGTAGTTACGCTACGTAGTGATTCACCTTGTCCTCTTGCCGGTAACCTTCACTTCCAGTCACAAGAGCATGGTAGCTGGCTAAGCGGCAGTTCAGACGCCAGAAACTGAACCAGTCTTGAGGGCAAAGCAGCTGTTCGATATAGGCTTGTGCCCACGGCCTGTTTCCGGCGCGACACAACACACAAAGACAAGACATATTTAGACTAGCGGGCGACGCAGCTGCACAGAACACCCAAATCTTGATACTGTAAGGAAGCGGAGAGCAACACACAACATCTTGCCAACCTGCCTTCAGCAGCTTGCGGTACAAGATGCTACCAGCTCGTGTGTGTTGCTGTCGTGCTTGCCGCAAGCGAGGGAACGTAGCCCGCCACACGTTCCCACACCCCAACACACTGAGTGTTTCAGAGCGAAACCTTCAACACAAACACAGCTAGAGCGCCGCACACTAAAAAGTTGAGTGTGAACGTGAATGAAAGGTAACCATTGCCTTGGCCAAAAGGACCATAGCCGGACTATTCTGCCGGGAAAAAAGCGACGCATGACCATGGCGCACAGATCGCTACGAAGCTTCCGAACTACAAGTTTCGAGTTTGATCTCTTCGCGAAAGTATTGCGCACCTGCTTTCATCGTATCGCACCTGCCATGTTTTCGTTGCAGGTTGAGTGCCGCCATGAAGCAGATGGCAGGGTTGACGACCAAGATGAAGAGGTACACCATTGCTTTGAAGGAGCAGTAAAAGCTCAGAGGGATGCCGGTTCCAGGGATTGCCACATTCCTCAAGTTCTTAAACATGTCCTGACCATCACCACCCAAATGATGAGCGCGTTAGCGCAAACTTTGTGCATGTGAGCATATTATTGCGGTACGGACTTACGGATACATATGAATCCCGTGCGAACCCACCTCTTTGAAGGAGGCATTGCGGTAGTGCGGCTTGGACCAGAGGTAGAAGATGAGACCCAAGGAGTAGCATTGGACGCGCGCCTGCAGCGTTTGATGCGGGCAAGTTTAGTCCATTCAAAGAAATGGATAAGGGTAGATCAACATGACGGTGGAAGTGTTTGGTTGTGAGTGAATTTGTCGTGGGGTTGAGGTGTGTGGGATGTGTGTGTGCACTGAGTTGGGGCCCGAACGGGCGCAACAAACGAACCGGCGCAACAAACGGTACAGGCGATACTGCGGATTTCGTCTGTACCGAGAGATATAACGGCGCTGTACGCAGTGGCACTATTCCATCGGCACTACTGAGACACCACGACTTTGGGCGGCCGTTGAAATACAGCAGTCCCCGATTGCTGGTGAGACTTCAACTTGCATTGTCGAACAACTTCTTTCTGGCAAAGCGGTCTCCACGCAACTTAAAACCCCTTGGCTCAGAGGGAGATGTGCAAATCTAGCGCCGACAGCAAGGTATCTCCGTAACTGTGATTTGTTCATGTGTGCCGCCCAGCAGTTGATACACGCCGCAGCGTGTGCAAGTACGCACGCAACTGCTGCAACTTGAACATGAGTGCGACGTTGTTGCTCCTTCCCTCCCACGAAATCTGTCGGTTTAAGTGACACCAATCTCGCGGTGTAAGCAGAGCACGTATTCTCAGTCGACTTACTATGAACAACACACATATGTCATCACAGGTTCCCCACCTGTAACCTGGTGGCGAAGTACGGGCACTCCTTGTAAGTCCCCCCCGTCAGGAAGTATAAAAGACAGCGATAGAATCTCACAGTGTCTGAGATCGCAGTCCAGAAACTCGCACGATCCCAGTCGTAGTTGTCTCCCTCTACCATATTCAACCGAGCAATCTGTGGGCTGTACGCTGTTTGTTCTTATGCACACATGCACACCCGCCGTAATTGCAAACAGCGGTGCCAACAGCGGGCGTGCGGCGGGACTGTACAGATGGATTGTAATACCGAGATACCGACGGGCGGACGGGACTGTCGTATTGTGCCGACTCCGCCTCCGCACTCCGCACTCCGAACGCCTTCGTGCTGCTTGGTGCTTCGTGCCAGGGTGGGTCTCGTCAGAGCTCCAGAGCTCGCCAGGGGAACGAGAGGAGGCAGAGGCGAGTAGGAAGACCTATAGTGTAGGAGAGAGAGAGAGAGAGAGCGAGAGCGCTGCTCGGGCTCTTCGCGCAGTAACACGCAGATCATGAATCAAACTGCGAACGACGGGAGCAGTGCAACGCTGGCACCAACCGTGGAAGTCGACGAGATGGAGCTGGACAAGGTCTCAGGATCTTTGGACTTTTCATTTCTACGCCCTCTCTGCGTGGCTAGGAGGACTTTCAACAGCCGACAGGTGCGCCACGATGCTGTACTTGTAGACAAATGGATACTTCACATCTGTAGCGCGTGGTGGTTTCCTGTAGAAGCTCTTAATGGTCTGATGTGGGACTAGGTTACAGCAGTAGACTAGTAGTGCACCGTACTACAGCAGTATCGTAAACGATGTTTTCCTGTGCTGACCGGGGTCTGCAACCCATAACAATAAACGAAGTCTACAGGAAAGTCCAAGTCAAACCAGTGTTAGTGTTCTTGGGGTCATCCCCGTAGCATGTATTTATCCCGTAGGCTCTCTGGCGGGTCTTGGAACCTGAATTTGCGGTCATTGGCCGTGCGAGAGAGTTCGACACCAACAGCTTTGCTTGTGCGGCGTTTACATACATGTTTCGACGACGTGTTGTGAGTCATACCGACCTTGGGCAATCATGTCATTTGACGTTGGATGTTCCCATTTTTGCTCGGTAAGCAATATTCGAAGTTCTGCTCCCAAGCACGTGAACCCAAGCAAAATGTCGGAGAACATATGCCGTCCTGTATCCCCCGGAAATAACATCAGTAACGTCAGTATGTCCATTGCGCCGGTTTTGGTTCGTGATACTCAGGATGTTGCGCTGGGGCTCCCGACGGCGAACAACTTCCTGAAGGGCGCCTCTTTCTCACCAGATGGAACGTGCTTGCTGACCTCTAGTGACGATACGGTCCTCCGGGTCTTTGAAGTTCCCGGCCATGCGTTGCGAGGGGTGAGGACGTGCTTTGGTTCTTTGGAATGACTTTGCGCGCGCCGGTGAATGATGTGGTGAAGTTTGAGCTACCTCTAGAAATTGCATTTCCACATCGTTGTACAGAGATGTGTCGAGCGAAGTTCACGCAGCAGTCACAGGTTATCCTGTGTGGAACGATTGATGAGTGTTGTGCCGACTTTAGAACAAGAAGAGGGTCTATCGTTCAACTTCTGCTGTTGCTGGTTGAAGGCGTTGACAATATGCGTCCTTTTCCCTCGGTCCGCGACGTACAGGAGAAACGACAAGCCCCCTCTGATACCGTCGATGATGCTGCGTCTTCCGCACATTTTGACATCACGGACGATTGGAGCCCTTGTCTGTACTCCGTCGAGGGGGAAACGGTTTACGACTTCGCATGGTGTGTTGATGATTTGGCTGGATATTATTACCGCAGGCGAAAATGTCGATCGTCACCACTGCTATGAACATGTTAGACCAAGGGAGAGGAAAAAATTGGAGAGAAATCGAGAAGGCTACGGCCAAACTGAAAAGGTTGAAAACGGGGAACGTATTTCTGTAACTAACCTGGTTGCAACCCTCTCTTGGGCTCCTACGAGGCATTGCCCATTTGCCAATTGCTCGCGCATCACACCTTACGGAGCCACGCCGCCTGTCACTGTCATAATGCGTAGGTACCCACACATGTCCTCATCCGAGCCAGCGACAAGCGTCTTCGTAAGCACCAGTCGAGATCACCCACTACACATGTGGGACGCATTCACGGGCAATCTCAGGGCCACATATCGAGCATATGACCACCTAGACGAAGTTGTGGCCGCGAATTCTGTTTGCTTCAATACAGCTGGCGGCAAAATCTTTGCAGGTGCGGGATGGTCGGTTCTGGTTCAATGCAGTGCTGTGGGTAGAGTACCCGTCAAACACTGCCTCGTCTATGGTTGGGATGGGCGCCGTAGCGGTACAAGTCTGTGAGTTACATGAGAGGTCTGTTCGCCTGTGCTACGGTAGATGCCTGTATAAAACCCCGGTGCACGAGTTAAAAGTTTAGTGATTGTTTGTTTTCGTACAAACATGGACCGTACTTGTGGGTGTGACGCATTCAGACGGCATCGCCCGGTTGGCTAGCGAAGGCGTAGGTCGTCAGCACGGGAGTACCCGCAAAACACTGCCTCGTGAATGGATCCTGTGACGAAGGGGTGAGCGCCAGAGCGCTAGAGAGACGACAGGAGACCATCAGCGTCCAGTTTCACCTTTGACAGTAATCTCCTCGACATTCCCATACGCTCCGTCTCTCTCGTAACCCAACGTTGTCAGCATCATCCCGCAGCTGGTAAGCTTGGTAGGAATCATACCTTACTCCGGCTGACTCGCCACCAGCAACCACCGACAAGTATTGTATGCTAATTGATCTCGAAAGGCTGTCCATTGCTGCGGCGCCCCTGTTGCTTCCCCCCACCCTACGAACTCGTTTATCCCCCGTCGTCTGCTGCTGACTGTGTGATTTTGTGAAGGTTACAACAGAATGATCAGAATATTCGATGTGTCTCAGCCTGGGAGGTCATTTGAAGCACGGCCCACGTGTAAAACCCGCAAGAGCAAAACCGGGCAGCGGGGGATCATTTCGGCTTTGGCGTTCTGCCCGGAGAGTTCTGGAGGAGGCTTATTCGCCGCTGGGTCCTACGCGAAGACAATTTGTTTGTACAGCGAGAACAGGCAGGCATACGTTTGGCGTTACCGTTTCGTTTTCGAGAGCTGTTGCCAGTGGTTTCATCTTACTGGAGGTGATGCGATTGATCAGGGTGACGTGATGGGTATGCGCAGTATGGTGCCGCCGCCCATTGACCTGCCTGCCCGCCCGTGCAGCCACTGAAATAACATGGAGGAAATATTATTTGTGTGATGGTACGATTTGAGCTGCTCGTACGCATATTGTAGCTGCCCCCAGTGAAAGGTACCACGGCGTGATCAAAACCAAGCTCCCTCCGTTACGTCCGCCTTTTCCAGTCGTGCACGCGCTGTAGCAGAGTTGGCGACGCCAACAATGGGCGGCGTTACACACCTCAAGTTTGCACCCAACGGCCGGTATCTCTTCTCTGGCTCACGTAAGGACACTGCCATCGTGTGCTGGGACCTTCGACAAACGAAACAAGTGAGTAACCTTCGACGCCACAATTGCATTCCCACCTGAGACATTCCGCAAGGCTATGTTTGCGAAACAAAGGCCCGTGACATTTTTTCTGGAAGCGTCTGCGAAAGTCCCCTCATCTTCTAATAATCGATTTGTCCCTAAAGACCTGGAGATGAATCGACCACCAGACAAATCACATCTTGTCGTAAGCTTTCCTCTCAGTCCAGGTATGGTTTGAAGTGGGTAGAAAACGTGGTAGGCCTCCGGCCAGGGCTGAAAAACACGGGAGGCCTTGACTGGGCGCCTTCATCGTCCCGTGTTACCTCTTTCTTCCTGCTCACGCTCGTTCACCTTCAGAGTTGAACTCAACCATGGTGTGTTTGTGCCGCAAAACACTGAGGGCTTTCTTGCTACGAATTTCAGCAAAGACTAAAGAGCAAATGCCCTTGCCGGTGGATAAATCACAACGGAAGGCATAATTTGACTGGACTATCCATCCAATGCATTTAGCGTACTTTGGTTTAACCCGCTCTTGTGTTGGAAAAATGCGGTGAAACCCAACGCTCCCTCGCCATGTTGTCCATGCTGTGCATCCCACCCGCAGGCAATTTACACCCTCCCACGTCAAGTGGACACGAACCAGCGAATTGGGTTTGACGTCGATCCAAGCGGGCGGTACTTGGCAACTGGTTCTACAGAGCGACGGGCCCTCGTCTACGACACTGAAAGCCAATCACTTGTCGGTTCGCTCGAAAATCAGACTGACGCAGTGGGGAGCGTCTGCTTTCATCCCCACGCACCCTTGTTGGGTGTTTGCACTGGACAGAGGCACTTTGAACTCGACACTGATTCTGATTCAGACAGCGGTGTCAGCATTGAGGGTGAACCACAACCAGGCGACATGCGTGGGGGCACCCCAAGTACCGAGTGGAAAAACGGCGTGACCCTTCATGGTGTTGGGACACTCTGTCCAGACACATAGAACTAGATGAGCATTCTCCCGTGTTAAACAACACCGTTATCGTGCACCAGCCGCTCACAACAAAACAACCACACGTCATACCTACAGCAACTCACGGGTACACCACGACGGTACTTGTTGGCCTACGGTACCGTTAACGCGTGTATCTCCGTCGCTCGAAATGTCTTGCGCGCCCTGCGGTGCCCATCTACTGAGGAGCATCGATCCGATCCTACATAGAATAACCTCCCTCTCGAGGTCAGCCACCGATCCTATCAGACATCACCCGTACTTGAAGCCAAGTACTTTGACGTGACCAGACTATTCGCTTGGCTGACTCTTTTTTAAGTCGGGGAGTTCACGAGGCTACCGGCGTTCATCATGATATTCGGCGTTCACGCGTTTTTCACCACGCACCCAGACTCGAAGCTGCATCGCATTCACCATTCCGCCGAGCGATTCCCGAACAAGTCCTATCCTAGTTAAGTTATCCTCTGAAGAGATGGGTCGCGTGAGCCCGGGGGGAATTTAGAGAGAAGAGGGGCAGAAAAAGGGCAAAGCCGAGAGACGAGCAGAGGCACAGACACCAAAAGAAGACGACGGTGGACGGGTTATGGGTCGGTTCACAGAGAGAGGGAAGGTGATCAATTTCGAAACTTGGAGGAATCTTTATCGCAACTAGAGAGGACGTGAGCGTTTCGCTCTACACACATGCGCCCGACACACTTACGCCATCAAGATGTTGTTGATTGGGATGTGGACGAGCTTGACGAAGAATCCAATGAAACCCATGACCAGGAACCCGACCGTGGTGGCCTTGGCCACTTGCATGAACTCTGCGCGGACATTGTCATACAAAGGAAACGGGTCATTTACGAGGTGAAGTGACAGTTATTCGAATGTGCAAAGGAAAGGCGGTCACCATCTACATATCACGCGCGCTTCGGTGGTACTCGAGCGAAGTCGCAATGTTTTCGAAGGCTTCTGCTTCGGCACCCTTTCCAGGAATCATTCACTTCGCCCGAGCGCTGTGCGATCTCGCAATATGCCTACGGCCTGTGACTGTACAGAGGAATGCTCACCGCCCTATTATGGTGCCACGCTGCTATCCATGGTACAGGTTAGTCACTGCTTTCTCCCTCAGAATTGCCTTTCAAATCAAGCCAATACGCAACACAGGCCAGCAGCGTAGGGGGGTTGCAACGTTGCTACATGAACCCCCGAAAGTACCACATTCAATCCTGTCGCCCGAACGTTTCCCGACCTCCCCTGCTCTGGGCTGACAGCGTTGTAGCTATTGCAAATTTTCCCCCGTTGCGTTTTTGATCGCAGTCTAGAGTCACTAATCGTCTAAGTCGTATCTTTTACAGAGGGGCACGTCAGAATCCATGGAGCATCTGTGGTCATGAACTTCTTGATGCCATACGTGACTGCACTACGGCAGCTTTTCGGGCCAATCTGTTCGCCCAGTACCGAGTGCCGACGTGAGGTGACATGTGTTTTCCAACGCTTTTCGCAAGGCATCCCAGCTCTCTCAGGGACGGTTATCGATATTCCACCACACACCCGGATTCCAAATCGGGCAATCTACCACAACGGGCCTTAAAGGTGGTCATGCCACGTTGTTCCTCTGGTCAGTGTAGAACCACAAGTTTGGCTTGCAGAAATTCAGCGGTTTGGTATGCCCCAACTCAAGCTCTGGCACTGGCGTACCACACTACACCCCCAGATGACAGGGGCGATCTTTTTCGATCTTTGTGTGGATGAAGAAATATCTGGGTTCCCACCTAAGCGGTACTCAACGTCTACCGCCTCGATGTACCGTAGGTGACCAACATGCCACACCCCCTGCGAAAACGAACAGAAAAATACCCTTGTGCAAATTGTTATATGAGTCCCGAAAAAAGAACCAATATAGGAGTACTACTGTACTACACGATCACATAGCATACCACACCCCTACGCTGAGCCGTGTACTATCCACGGCGCCCCCCGTATCGAACCATGTGAGCAGCGTTACAAACGTGCGAACC